ACTGAGTATATTGGACGACGATTGAAAGCAAACTGTTTCTTCTCTTGGGCAGAGCAAATAAGTGGGCCTTGACCCGTATACCCCTAAGTCATGTCATGTACTCCGCTAAAAGTCCCACATCGCTCATCTAGGATTAAGTCTTGTTTTATATATATGGCTAGCAAGCAACAATGGTCACGACCTTACTTGAACAGGATCTGTTCTATAGGCTCGTACCTCTGTATCCTTGATTTCTAAGGAGACAGGCCCTTAACCCTGGTTGATGAACCATGACCGTGCGATCAGAGCGTGATTAACGGCTACGATTGTCTTCGGACGCATCCGGTGCTGTAGAGGATCGTTACTCGGCTTGGTTCTACCTTGCCGGGGTGGTCGCACGGCGGTCTGACAGGTTCCTTTTTTTCCTCTTTTTTTTTTTGGTTTTTTAAATAAAACAGCTCTTCATTGAATCGTTTGCAAGCTGGGTTATACAGACCAATACCTCTTTTACTCGAGCGTATCTGAATAGTGAACATAAACTATTCCATTACATGTCGTTGCAAGCTAGTGAAGTTTTTCTCAAGCTATTTCAAGAAACAAGAACAGAGCAAACAAGACGTCCATAGTTGAAAACATATCAAATATGTCATTAGGCCAACCTTGAATTTGTTTGTTATTATTGTTGATAAGATAAACCAATACTTTGCCCAAAAAAATAAAACATATAAACCAATACATGTGAATAATATCTTCCCTTAATGGTTAGAATAAAGAAGCTCTTCTTGAATATTGGAACTAGAAGCTAAAAGAAGCCTAATTTAATGCATTCTGATATAAACAAGACCATAGCTACTTCATTTCTTGTGTGTAGGAGCAGCTGCTTCGATGCGAGAACAACTATCTTTTAGAAGAGGAGGGAAGAAAGGATTTAGCGGAAACATTTGTCGCCAACACTTTTTCTAATTCTATGGAGGAGAATGATTTGTTTGATTGATTGAGATGGTTTGGTGATCCAAAGAAACAAAGACTTTTATAGAGTAACCTCAAGGATACGGTACATGTTTTACGAAGAGTTACATTTTCATAGTTCGTTACATATAACATAACTTTGAATTAAAACATGGAACTGTTTACACTTTCACAAGCTAATATCAGTAATTCAAGTTTGTAGACTTTAAAACAATTAATCCAAATAAATATCTATGCGGACTTTAACGTTTTATTCAACAATGACTTAAGTCTGTTGCATTTTTTCTTTTCTAACAGCAAAATTTCCTAAATGACAAATACAAAACCAATGTAAAAAGCTGTGTATATTATACAAAAGTGGAATATAAGGTAGAATACGGTTCTGGTACACAACATTCATATAATCTCTCGGTTATGTCAACCTTTCGAAACAAATCATGGGAAGTGTTACACTTAACAAATAAAATAATTTAAGTTAGGGTTGGAGCTTTAAACCTAAATAAGTGGGCCTTAATTGGCACGTAAATTGCCTAAGCAATAAAGCAAATCATGTCATGTACTAACCAAAAGTCCCACATCGCTCATCTAGAAATAAATCTCGTTGTATATATATGGCCACAAAGCGACAATGTTCACGACCTTACTTGAACAGGATCTATCCTATAGGTTTGTACCTCTGTATCCTTGATTTCTAAGGAGACAGGCCCTTAACCCTGTAGAGGATCGTTACCCGGCTTGGTATCAAACTTAGCTGGGGTGATCGCACAGCGGTCTGACAGGTTCTTCTTTTTCTTCACTACCCTTAGAGCAACATTAACGTTAAGCTCTTAAGTTTTAATCTTAAGAGTATTTAATTAGTAAATTTGAAAAAGTACAAGATAAGAGTTGTGAATTGGTTTATAGTTTTGAGAGGTGATTATTGGTAGGCTCTTAATTAGGCAAAATAAAAGGCATAGGTTAAGGAAGAAGAGTGGTCATGAACTGCATAAACCCATCGGTGACATTAAGCAAAAGATCAATATTTGGCGATCGCTTATCAACGTCGCCGTGATGAGCCGTTGTCTTCCTGATCAATTCGAAGGTTTAACGGATTTGAGGAAGTGAGAACGCGAAATCAAGTGAATCTCATCGCTAGCTAAGCTTGTCATGTAGATCCCAGATTTTCTGAAGAACAAATTCGATTTCTTCGATCTCGTGAAATCTGAGTGAGAAAAGAGAGAAGACAAAGACTGTGCCCTTAACCCTGCTTGATGAACCATGACTGTGCGATCAGAGCGTGATTGATGGCTACGATTGTCTTCGGATTCATCAAGTGCTGTAGAGGATCGTTACCCGGCTTGGTACCAAACTTAGCTGGGGTGATCGCACAGCGGTCTGACATGTTCTTCTTTTTCTTCACTAACCTTAGAGCAACATTAACGTTAAGCTCTTAAGTTTTAATCTTAAGAGTATTTAATTAGTAAATTTGAAAAAGTACAAGATAAGAGTTGTGAATTGGTTTATAGTTTTGAGAGGTGATTATTGGTAGGCTCTTAATTAGGCAAAATAAAAGGCATAGGTTAAGGAAGAAGAGTGGTCATGAACTGCATAAACCCATCGGTGACATTAAGCAAAAGACCAATATTTGGCGATCGCTTATCAACGCCGCCGTGATGAGCCGTTGTCGTCTTCCTGATCAATTCGAAGGTTTAACGGATTTGAGGAAGTGAGAACGCGAAATCAAGTGAATCTCATCGCTAGCTAAGCTTGTCATGTAGATCCCAGATTTTCTGAAGAACAAATTCGATTTCTTCGATCTCGTGAAATCTGAGTGAGAAAAGAGAGAAGACAAAGACATTGTGTTTTTTTTTTCCCTTCTTTTTCTTCTTTGACCAATATAGTGATGCCACGTGTGCGTCTCTTATGCTTGTTTATGTCTCTTAATTAAAAGACGTATCTTAAAGAAAATCAACATTAAACATTAAATTTTAATCTTAAATACCTTAAGAATCACCTAACATCTCACCGATAATGGTGGTCTTAGCATGTTTTGAATCTCTTATCTTTATATGATTTCTTAAGGAATTTTATGCAATCTTAACTTGTTTTCTTTTATATTTCTAATTTCTACTTTTCAATTTTTGTCTTCATGACGGTTAGTGAGTACACCTTTGGGTTTAGTACGTAAATTAGTGTGGTCGTTGATTAATTCAAGATGCGAAGGGATTAATTTTACTCTCTAGGTGTTCTTAAGGCTAGAACAAAGAAATTCGTCAATATTATTATATTAAAACAAGATATATATACACACTAGAACTAAACAAAACCAAATTTAAAAATTAAACGGAATAAAGAGCTTAGTGTAGGTGATCTAAGGAGGTATTCCTCTGTTTCCTTGATTTCTAAGGAGAAAGGCCCTTAACCCTGGTTGATGAACCATGACTGTGCGGTCGGCTTGGTTCTTCCTTGCCGGGGTGGCTGCAGGGCGGTCTTACAGATTCCTCATTGAGTGAGTACTTGACGCAAAGTGTAATTTTACAACAAAATTTATTTAATCTGCCAGCCAAACGAATTAAACAATCTTAAGACAAATTGACCATACCTCAACGCTCGTTTATTTTGTAATCATAAACAAAGGAAAAACCTAGAGAAAAGGCCATATTTGACAAGCATAACTCAGGTTTAGTACGTCTTAGAAGTTTTCCATTAGCACTATCCATAGCCCAATATCTTACAAAAAGAGTAAAGATGACAAGCGCGAGTCACTGATAAGAACCTAAGAGCTGCGAATGAGAGTGACTGTTAACATGGGGGAAAAAAGAAGAAGAAGCAATGAGACACAATAACGGTAGCTATAAACCTACTTTTGGGAATAGTGACATCAAAATCATCACATGTACAAGCTAAAGCTGATATCAGTTTTTTAACTTTACATGTGATGATATTGATGTCGCTATACAAGTTCAACTCTACATTTTTTTGTTGCAATATATCCTATTCCAAAGTATAATTATGTGATCATCATCAATTCTTAGGTACTTTCACATCTATGGCTTTGGCTTTTGTCAGATGCCATATGAACATATTGGGAAGAGTGAGGAAGATTGAGAGAGCCGTCAAAGCGCAAGGAAGAATGAACACAAAAGGAAATATGAAATCAAAAGTTCTTCTGGCCTCGTCTCAGTTCCCATATTTCCTTTTCCTTCTCAGTCTTCTTCACTCTTCCCAAGATGATCCTATGACATTTTTCTTTTATTTGGATCCTATGTACCTTCCATTGCACACTGTTATTTTCTTCTTCTTTGATATAGAGGAGATAGGGGAATTAGTTTGGGATGGTTTGGTTGTCAAAAGAAAGAAACAATTTATAGATCAGTAACTCAAACGTGAACGTAATTCATTACAAAAGAGTTGCATTTTCGAGATTCGTCAGTTACGTCAACTTTTGAAACAATCACTAGAATACTAGATATAGAATTTACAAGAGTTACATTTTGAGATTCGTCCGTTATATATGTCTAACATTGTAGTAAATAAGATGTTTTCAGTATTTACATTTTGTAACAGCAACGTTTATAATACTCCATTTTCTTTAGTTTTGAATGAATAAAAAATAATTTCACTTATAACATGAACCAAATCAAAAGATGTAAAAATTCATTGATTCTTATGTAATAATAATCTGTCTGTAACATTTATATGTAATAAAAAAAAGCTTAATCAATGACTTATTTTCTTCAGCATTTCTAATATTTTGGATCGGAAAAATAAAAAACAATAATCGGACGTAACTCGAACAATAATAAATGTTTGCATATTCCTGTTTTTATTTAATAAACCTAAACGATATCTCCTTTACTAAACAGAGACAGAGAGCCTCCAATAATAATTCTAATCAAGCTTTAGGCTACAATAACAGTATATGTAATTGGGTTTAATCTTAATGGGCTTTAATGATCCTTAAAAAGCTTCCTCACTGATTTGCTATATCCCACATCGGTTGTAAGACTTAGGAATAGTCAGTGAAACTCTAGTATAAATAAAGAGCATAGAGCTGTCTCCAAAGACTCACGGAGCCGTGCAGTGAAGACAAAGTGAACTATTCTTTCGCCTTTTACTAAAGAATACCGTGTCTTCTCTGCATTTATTAGCGGCATACCCCTATTTTTGGAAAGGTTTATTTATAAATAAACCTCCATCAAATCATTTGGTTAAACTTTTGCATTATCTCTAAACTTGAGTTATTAGTTCAAATTGGCAGAATAGAAAGAATCATGGTTTCAATGAAGATTTTAAGTTTTCTTGGATAACAAGAAAACCTCATACGTAGGATCGAGCCTCTACTAATTAATTTGTCCACTGTGACAAAGCATATGTGATTGCTTAAACATTACGTGGATTTTAACACATACCTTTAATACAGAGATTTAATGAATAAATGAAAGCTGTGAGATTAAGCCAGTAACTTGAATTTCTATATTATTTGTAGATCTCTTATTAAAACCTAGAACAAAGCAACCAACCAACATTTGGAATTGAGAAAATTCTTGTATAAGCTGGTCCCGTAGCTACTTCACTTGTGTGTAGGAGCGGCTGCATTGATGCGAGAACATTTACTTTTAAGAAGAGGAGGAAAGAACGGATTTAGCGGAAAAATTCGTGGCCAGCATTTGGCATCAACAGCTGAGAACGCCTTGCAACACATTGGTCCGACATTACCAAACTTTCTTGTGAAAACTGATTTGTAGATTTCACTTAAGCAACCTTCAACGTTGACAAGTGATGACAGACATTTTGTGAGATCGATGGGAGAACCAGGGAATTGTGGTTTCGTGTGTGCGGGTGCAGCTGCGTTGATGCGAGAGCACATATTCTTGAGAAGAGGAGGGAAGAATGGATTCAATGGAAACATTTTTGGCCAACACTTTGCATCGATTTCCACAAACGCCTTGCAGCATGTTGGTCCAACGTTTTGAAACTTACCGGTTAAAGCAGATTTTAAGATTTCGATTTCGCAACCTTGAATCTTAAGGAGCGATGACCAGCATTTCGCGAGATCAATTGGGGAGCCAGGAATGGTAGGAAGTTGAGCAAGCCCCGGCTTCACTAAAGTAGTGGCACACAAAGTCACAACTAGAAGTGTGGAGAGAAGAGCTTGGATCTTACCTTCCATGGTGACTAGTCTATTGATTATTGTTTTCTTATTCTATAGAGGAGAATGGTTTGCTTATGGATTGAGATGGTTTGGTGATCTAAAGAAACAAACAATTTATAGAGTAACCTCAAGCTTAACGGGTACGGTAAAATTTATTAAGAAGAGTTACATTGGCAATTTCGCATAGTCTTTGACTCGTTACTTGTGACAAACTTTAGATTAATACATGGAACTGTTACACTTGCGAAATGATATCAGTAACTCATGTTGTAGGCCTTTAAACAGTTAATCCAAATAAATAGCTATTTGGACTTTTGACGTTTTACTGAATCAGATGTTTTATTCAATCTCTTCTTTTGTTTATTTCACATCTTTAAGCCAAACCAAAGGTTAAAAACAGAGAGGAGGAGACTCATATTAAATTTTAGGCCAAGCCTACGAGCTTCTCGCTGACTTCCCAAACTTTACGAGCTTTCTCGATGTCACTAGCTTCTTGAGACAGCTGATTCTCAAATGAAGCCGAGCTCTTGTTCCAGCTCCAATACACTCCCGACTTCGTCAAGCTTGGATCACCCACCACCTTTAACAAAGAAATTACATAGGTTGAGTAAACAGCAAGAATAAGAAACTAAAAGAAAGGTTTCTTGCGTCGCAAACAAAATTAGGTTTTGGTTAATTTGCTTTACCTGAGCAAGTCTTTTCCCAGCCTCTCTCTCGGAGACGTAACCTTTTGTGATGTACTTTTGGAAAGGAGGAAAGAGGGCACGGAAGAGAGGAATGTGCTCTCTGAACAAACCTGTCGTCGCGATACAACCCGGGTAAAGGGAAGCGAAAGTGATGCCGGTTTCTTCATGGAAACGCCTATGAAACTCTTGCATTGTCAACATGTTGCAGATTTTACTGTCTTTATACGCCTTTGCACCGTTAAATTCTCCTCCATCTATCATCGCCGAGCTGTTTAGCCCGCTCAGTCCCGCCGCTAGTCCCCTCAAGTCCCCGAGATTCGCCTTCGGAGGTACATTACCCGCCAATGTATTGGTGTTTCCTGCTCAACAAGAAACAAACGTATACAGTTTTAGGTATAGGGTTATAGAGTAAGTAGGAAATACATAAAACGTTCCTCTCTTAGAGGAAGCTATTACCAGTTATGGATCCAACAATGATGAGACGTTTCGACGGATAATCAGAATTCTTCAAGTCATCAATCAACAATCTTGAAAGAAGAAAGTGGCCCAAATGGTTCGTCCCAACACTAAGCTCAAAGCCTTCAGCAGTGAAAGTAGGTTGATTAGCCGTTGGCTGATAAACCGCGGCATTGCAAACCAAAACATCGAGAGGCATCTCGGCTCGCCTGAAGTTATCAACGAACTGTCTCACGCTGTCCAAAGACGCTAAGTCCATATGCATCACCGTGTAGCTGTCCCTAGGCATCCCTGCGGACTTAGAAGCTCTCTCTGCCTTGAGGAAATCTCTGCACGCCATTATCACGTGCCATTTACCTGTCTCCGCTAATGCCTTGGCCGTTGCCAAACCTAGCCCTGAGGAAGCTCCCGTGACAATAACGTTTCCTTTTCTAAGGGTTTTCTTGCGGTCTATGGAAGATTTTGTGACTGAAGGAGTTGAAGTCGCGATTGCTTGAGCTCGAATACTCACATTATTTTTCCTCAAGCTCTAGCAGAGTAGAAGTAATCTTAATTAGTTTTACTACATCATTCAGTTTCCAAGAAAATACTCATCATAAACTTAGAACTATAAGATTGTGTTACGCACCTTGCATCTCAATGAAGAAGAGACGAAGTCAGCTTTAGTTTGTTCAGAAAGTGAAACACCAAACAAACTAGAATCTTTAGATGATGATGATGAAGCATTTAGTTTCCCCTGCAACAAAAAAGAAAATGCAAATTAATATCCGAGACAGGTCATAAACAAGATTAATAGAAACTTAAAAAAAAAGAGTTAACAAAATACATCTTTGCGAACAGAGAAAGCTGAGGAGACCAAAGAAGCAGCTTGAAGGGCCATTGTTTCTCTTAAAGACTTAAAAAGAGTGTTAAGTAATGTGATGTTCTGCAAATGTCAATGCTTGTGTGTTGTTTATATAGGAGTTGAGACAAGTTTTAGTTTGCTCCCCTCCCCCCCATATGTTTTTTCCTAGGATATGTGTGGATAAGGTGAAAGCTTATTCCACGTCAGATTCTCAGAACCAATGAGAATTCGAGAATTAGATTTCCTGTCAGTAGATATTATATTGTATAAATTTTCATGGGACTCCATCTCTTTTGGTATGGGAGGATTGAGAGATAGAGAGCTATGAAACAAAAGTATACTCTGAATTGTTATGGACTCTCTGATCTAGAGATAACATTGTTCATTTAAATAAATGAAATTATAAATTGTCATGTATCTATACTCTATAGATAGACTGACTGTAATGGAAACTACAATATGTGTATACAATTTTGCCAAGTTCGAAATTTTAAAGACAAACTAACATTGTGGTATAAGAAGGTATTTTTACTTTCAAGAAAGATGATAACTTAAAAACTGATTCATTACTAGAATGTAGCAAAGGAGAAAATGCAATAACTCCAAAAGAAGATACTCTTACTACACTTGAAAAACAACAACAACTGCAACAAGGCAATTAGAAAAGTACCTAAGCAAAATAAACCAAAACAAAAACAGCAATATTTTTAGTTCGTCACACCCTTAAGGCTTGGAGTATTATGCATAATCGTGGATGCATAACTGATGGAGACACCATTTTCAAAAGAATTAACTGATGGAGACATAATTAGATTTTGAGGTGGAATGTGGAAAGGGGTTGCGATTTTGAAATTAGAATTGATGGTAGGGTAGTATTCAGCCACATCAAACACTGAGATTCCGTCTGCATCCCAGATTACGACACTGTTTCTGTTAACGCCAGGAAAGGAAGAAGCAGTGACACAGAAAGGTTCAGACAGTGAGAGGAATATGGAGAGATCTCCAATGTCTTTAGTGTTAAGCCCTTAGGTTGTATTCATGGTGTACTCTAGTGATAAAATTGTTCATTGAAATGATGGATTGAATTGTTATGTATATAAGATAGACGGTAATGGAAAGTACAATATGTGTATACAAAAACATTATTATATATTCTTCATGCTGAGTTCGAATTATATCAAACTAGGGATGGACCCGCACGTACGTGCGGGATTGGTTGCAAAAACTATGTTTATCATAAAGTTTCTAATATTTTACTCGACATGATATAAGACTCGGATCGAGTGTGAACTGAATGACTGATAAATTAGAAATCAATTAAATTTGTGAACTATCACATCACATAAACTAATGAAAAACATTAAAACTTTTGAATAAAATAACATAAATATAGATATCAGGACAGTCAAACCCGTTCACTATACATGTCCTACAACAAATTGAAATATTTCGTTCCACCCACATGAATAAATAGTATGTCTTCAGCTTGCCCGTTACCCATAATTCCCTTTTGTATATTATTAGAATTAGTTAATATAATAATTTTTTATTTTCTAAATTACCCGTTCCCTTTCCGTTATTTCTTGTCCCAATATTTGAAATTTTTAAGTGAAACTTACTTTTGCTATTAAAATTTCATATTCTTGTATCATACCCGTCATTTGATATTTGAAAGTTAAAATTAAATTTAAGCTTCCAAATTTTTTATATAGGCTTGTTTTTGATGAGAAATAATTTAGATATTTTTTTTTTTGAATTACCCATTCCATTTTTGTTCTCGTTCTTTCTCTCTAATATAATATCATATTTTTTTATATATAAATGAAATAATTTACATTTTTAAAAAAACCAACATTATATAGCTTGTATTTAACTAATTAAATTACTCGTTCTCTTTTTGTGTTCGTTATTTCTTGTCCCGATATTTGAAATATTTAAGTAATTTGAAACTTACTTTTGCTATTTAAATTTCATATTCATGTATGATACCCGTCATTTGATATTTAAAAGTTGAACTTGAATTTAAGTTTCCAAATTTTTTATACCATCTTGTTTTTGATGAGAAATAGTTATACAATTCTTTTTTTTTGAATTAACCGTTTCTTTTTGTGCTCGTTCTTTCCTTCTAAGATAAGATTATATATATATTTTTTATAAATGGCATCATTTACATATTTTTTTTTTTAAAAACAACATTATATTGCCTGTAATTAACAACATTTTAAAAAACAATACCGTTAATTATTAGGTTGTAGAAACGTATAGCTTGTAATTAGAGTATAATGTTTTATTTTGTATTACCGTAAAATTTGAAGAAATGTAAGCAAAGAGTCACATTTATAAACTACGAACTTATCTCTGTTTAAATCTTCAAAAAGAAATGAATCAATTGAACAAAAAATATATTAAATATTTTACTAAGTAATGAAAATTCAAATAACTATTTTATTCCATTAACTGTTTAATTCTTTTTGTGGATTGGCAATGTTATATTATATGGAAAATATAATAATCGTGTGATATGATTTCCTGAACTTACTTAAAACTATTAAATGCTAATTGCATATTAGTTAATATCCAGCGAAATTGGGGAGTTAATATATTATTAAATTGATGTTAATAATAAAAAATGTTTATTTGATGATTTTATTTTTGGCCACATGCTATATTGGTTTTTTAAGTATATTTCAAGGAAATATATAAATATCTTTTTTGCTATATTTTCGAAAAACATTTTCAATATGAAGATTTTGAAAATAAGAGATTGTATGTGATACAAAATATTTATTCGATTGATTTTTGAAAAAAAATAATTATTGATTTTTTAAAGATTTTTTTTATTTAAACATTTTAATTATTTATTTAAGACTTTGTCATTTTTAAATTTTTTAAAGATAATATCAATTTTGTTGAATATTTCTCCATATTTTATTCTATTGTAAAATATATAACATATTTATTTTTCTTTTATTTTTCCTAAAACATCAATATAAAACAAAAAAATATATATGATGATTTTTGTAACGCAAAATAAATATATATCATATCATAAGAGTTATACAAAATACAAATAACATAAACACTTGAATAAAATCATTAAACCAAATAAATAATACTATAGATTAGATTTTATTAAATATTAAATTATTGTTTAAAAATATCTAAAAATGTTAAATATGTTATATACATGGAGATTTTCGAATTTAATTTTCCACTTTTTTGGCAACAAAATTAGTATGATCCATAAATATAGGTAGTTTCTGTTTTTTATTATTTATTTATTTATTAAAACATTTTTGCTGTCATTAGTTTTGTTTGGCAACTGAAATATATTTCATGAAATTTTTTTTAAAAAAATTGGGTCTGTTTGGCTTCAAGTTGTTCTTCCCAATTAATAGTATAGATACAAACTACGTTATGGACTTCAAGTATATTTGATTCTTTTTCACTGCGTACTTTGACTCTTAAACAAGAATAAGATTATATATTATATATATATATATATTTTGCTAGAGATTTGGATTATAGAGATAACAAATAAGAAAAATAAATAAAGGAAGCGTGGTAAGAAAAAAAGAAAAAGAAGTCAGCGTGGACGAACCAACCAACCTTGTCTCAATCTATACACATTTGACAGGAGGAGATGGTGTTACTACGTGAAATTCAATTTGCCTTGGGCTTTTTTTGATTTTTGTAAAGCTCTCTCTCCTCTAGCCTCATAGACGAACCGGTAATCCAAAATTCTGAAATGTTCTGATTTCGCCTCGCAAACCGCCAGTCACTATCACCATAGACCAAGCTGAGGCACTCGGTTTTGTGTTAACCTGTCCGTTTGACATGTCCACGCTCACACGAGGGCTAGTCCGGGCTCTGTTCTTTGCAGCTAGCATGAGTTTCTCCTCAGGCCATGTCGCTGAGATTCTATCGAAGAAGTATCGGTTTGTGGCGCTTGAAATGATACCGTTTGTGACGGTTTTGTTGTTGGTTGGATCGTTAACAGGTGTAGGAGGGTTATTGGCTGTGAAGGGTGCCTGCTCGGGGATGTTGCTGCTTTGGTTGTTACTAATTTTGCCTGGCCAAGGTGCAGCCACAGAGACGTCTCGACAATAAAAGTGTTCGTATGAGTTTGTGACTGTAACACGTTTGCTTCTTCCAGCTCGAGAGTCTGAGTCGTAATTCCATACATACACATTAGAGTCTTCGCTTGCTGAGACTAAGAATTTCCCGTTTGATGTAAGCGAAGCTGATATTTGGCTATTAGTGTTGCGAAATCCTGCAAATCAGAAAATTTTGCCAAAACTCAGAAACACACAGACTACTTAGCAAGAACCTTGAGCCTGTATTCCATCACCAAAATTAAGAGAAAGCTTAATAACATCATCTTCATGTGATGTGCGACTTGTAAGAATATTTTCAAAGATGATAGACCGAGAGATTCACCTCCATGGACAATAAAGCTATACCTAATTCCCGATGTCTAAGAATTAAGAAGAGTTTCTAGTTTAGTATTTTTACCTTTAAATTTGTGAACAAGGTCAACACCATCAACAACCCGTGTACGTGAATCTGCAGATGTGACGAGCACTTCTGATGAACTTCCCGCCACAAACTGGTTCATGAGGATAGTCAGATTAACCAGTACAGCATTCAAAATAAAATCACACTTGCAAATATATATTAAAGGATGCGAACAGAACGGTGTAACTTGTTATTTTTGGCCTTACCTGAAAACCAGTGATTTTCTTGTGATGGGTTTTCTTTTTCCTGTTCTTCAGATTGATTTCGCGTCTCTGCTGCAGTTTGTTATCTGAGTGAAGGAAAAGATATTAAGTTCAAAAGACGATATGGAGAAAAAAATTTAGATTTCAGATAAGTAAATTCTGAGCTTATATACCATGTGTGTTGTATAAGCAACAAGTTCCTTTGTATGAACCAACCAATGCACCCTTTACAAACCAAGAGAGTTTCAGGTACTTTGTCATTTAATTTACTGAATTCACTTCGTTACATACGAAAAACTTAATGGTGTACCTGCCCATCCGGTGTATAGCAGGCAGCTGTGACCATCTCATGAAGATCATTCCAATCAACAACCTGATGATCAGGAATGCTCCATATTCGAACTTTCGCATCCAGCGATCCGCTGATGAAGTAATTGTCATCCACAGGATTAAACTGGATGCAAGTCACTGTGAACAGGAAAGACAAAGCTAGATGAGAGAAAATCTTATGGCGCATAACCAACATATAAACTGTTATATGTTCCTCTTCTGTTTCAGGGGTCTATTTACATGTGGAAGAGGCTTGACAGATGAATCCAGAACAGAGTATACACCTAATGTGACTTAATATTCTTCTTGCACTGTATGCTTAGTTTTGTAGATACTAATAAGAACAGAAGTAACTCATGGCCATTGATGGAGAATAAGAGGGTATATCTACTCACCGTAGTCACTGTGCGAGAAGACTTTCAAACATGTCTTGGTGGATAAGTCCCATAAACGAACAGTCTTGTCCATAGAAGAGGAAAGCAGGTGCTGGAAGCAAAACAATGAGTGCAAAGTCTTTGAGAATTCAGGGTTTTCTCCAATATACGGAAAAACTGATTTAGGCAGATTCTCACATAACAATTGAGAAAACCTAAAATTAGCACTAGTAACTTGAAGAAGGTTAAGAGTTTTGCTCCAAAAAAAATAGAAAAGGTTGAATTTTCTAAAAGTTTCTAGTTTGCAAACCAGCATCATGCTTTAAAACTAGTTTGTAGCCAAATGAGTGACCGGGACTAGACCAACCTGAGATTTAGACCATGAAAGGTCAAGTACGTCATCCAAATGACCAACAAATGAACAAACGGGTTTCTCTGAAAGACCAAAGACTGCCTCTGGAACAAGAACATTGTCCAAGCTCACTGATTTTCGGCTAAATGATGTTCTCCCTCTTCTCTTTGGAGACATTGAAATTGGTTCTGGTGACCCATTTGCTAAAAGAAACAAATTTATGCTCCCATCTTCTTGTTTATCAATGGACAAGAGTTCCCCTTTTCTTTCTGACTCAACAACTTTCCAGATCTGAATAACACAATCCTCACCAGCACTAGCAAGATACCTCCCATCCAAACTGAACTTAATGCTCCATATCGACCCTTTATGAGCTTGAATCTCTTGGCTCTTGAAAAGTGCTGTGAGCTCTTTACATGACTTTCCATACTGCCTAACCTTAACTCTCTCAGGGTCATGAAAGGACGTATCTCGGCTATCATCAGTAGCAGAGCTAAACCTCTGACCACCTCTCTCGGACGGCGAATCCCTATCATCGGTGCTTCGTCGCTCTTTATACCCAGTCACACTACTAGCAACATTCTTTATACTCTTTAACCAACTCCCTCTCCGTCTATGCTTAGTTACTCTGCTTCCACTAACATTAGTATCCAAATCCACAGAGTCTTTACAAACATCTTCAACATTCTGCCTCCTCATCAGCTCAAGAACAATCGGGGATGTCCCAACACACATCTCAAACTCCTCAAGAGTCAATTGCCGATCTGTACCAACCTCTTTCAACTTCTCCAACATCCCATCTTCTCGGACCTCATTCACCACAAACTCTTTGCCAGTATCTAGATTCCTAATGGTACACATTTGCTCGTCTAAAAGAACATCTCTACCATTCCCATGAGATAAATTACTCAAACTCTCGTTCTCTACAATGTCCCTAAGAGATCTTCCCATAGGCTCTTTGCTTATAAAACCAACACCATTGCTACCATCATTTCGCATACGAGACTTGCCAGTAAGATCATCATTAACCATATTTACAGGAGAAGAACAAGAACACTGAGATCCAGTAAACTGACGAGCCTTACCAAGATCGACATTGTCAGTAGCAGCCACATCTGATCTCAGCACGCATTTACCTTGATGTTTAGAAACCAAAACATCAGAGGGAACCGATCTAGCGAAATGCGAACTGCAAATCCCTTTCCTCCGACTTCTAGACCGGAGCTGACTCGCCGGAGGTAGATCCGGCTCGTTACTAAGCCCCAATCCACGCAACAACCTGATTCGCCTCTCCGACACAGATTCAGGCTCAGATTTCCACAGCTCGAACCCAGAGCTTCCCGTAGGGAACACAGGAACAGGAAATGGACTCGGATCGTGGATCGAATCAGAGATATTGGGATCAGAGTCGTAATCAGAGTTAGAAGTAGAACAAGAGCAAGAAGATAAAACACGATCGAGAGATTCGTAGAAACAATCGTCATTGTTATCTTCTTCTTCTTCTTCTTGGTCTTCTTCCTTCCTTTCAAATCTGACGACGTTGCTTCGTCTGTTCATCATCATCATCTTCATCATCTTCTCCCACCTCAAGACTGAAGCAAAGTTATTCTCATCAGAGAGAGAGAGAGAGAGAGAGATGAACAATGCCGCCTCTTAACCTCTCCTTCTCTGTAGGCAACAGTCTTCGAGAGAGGACGAATCAGATTTTGAATATGAGCGAGGTTCTTCGAGAGTAGAGAGGGAATTAGGGTTTTCGAGGAATCAAAAAACGAAGTTCGCCAATGGAGTAAGAGAGAGTCAGATCGGATTAATGGGGGGGGGGAGAGGAGAGAGAACGGTTTTTATTATTATTATGAGAGAGAGAGAGAGAGTGAGAGTTTAATGTGTAGTTCAGAGAGAGGAGGAGGGAGAGAAAGAGAAAGAGAGAGAGAGGCCGCAACGATATTAATTCAATTTAATGTTTTATTTTTTCTTTGTAATTTAAATTTTTCGTTTTATTTAAACCTATTTCCATATTTAGTTGATCAACTATTACTGCTGTTAATTACGGAGTAACTGAAAACATCATATTATTAATTAGAGAAAATTTTATTATATTGTCTTAAATTCGAATTATCAATTTTAAGCAGAAATTTTTGATTCGGAATATTGTTACAATATTCTATGTAACTAAAAACCAATGTAATCAGGGTAAAATAAATGAAGTTGATATAGTTATGAATACTATAAATACACTGAATTTATCAACAATACCAAAAATGTGATTTTCAATGACCCAACAAAACTTTTCATTTATAGATAATAATTTTTCGAAAAACCCAAAAATAAAATCTCTTCGTAAAATGAATTTGTAGTTAGTGTGGGCAATTATTTCTTTTGATTCAACATTGTTACGAATCAAATTACGAAATGCTGTATAAAAAACTAGTTTATGTTGTCCATTACTACGATACAATCAAATCTTAATATGATACTACTAGAGTAATTGAGGAGTAATTGATAAGTAATCGTAAAAATGAATAATAAAAATTTAGAGTAATTGTTTTCTAAAAACTCTTTTACATTTTTTAAATTAAAGATTAGAAAATAAGGTAAAAATGTATGATATCATTAAGGATTTTTATATGCTTTAAGTTTAATGGAATAACTTTTTTTTGTTGTGTATATAATATATAACTCTAAAATTATTGGAGAAATCGTGCCTAGTAAACTATAATGGAAAGCATAAGCACATGCTGCTCTAGACAGTATTAATGCTTTTTTATTTTTTTTGTTGTATACATATTTTAAAATAGCTATTGTTGTTCATACGTACGTAGATAGGTATATAGAGCTTTCAATTGTGTGTGTTTGTTGTACGCAGAGAGCTAGGCAGAGAAGAAGAAAACGATATATCAAAATCTTTTACCCAATAAAATTGTGACATAACTTATCGAAATCAATATGATGTTTAATTAGTAAAATGATTCAGAAGTTTTTCTAAGAAAGTTAAATTAGGAACGGTTCATTTTTATGGATTTTTAGATTAAAACATGTTTTGCGATATCATTAATCATCTTCTTTCCTCTAAAGAAGCAATTGATCTCTCTTTAGGAGTGAGCAAAAAGAGAATGGGAACAAAACTGTACTAATGACACAAATTTAGAAAACAACCAATCTTTTGTTTCATTGTATTATTTTGTTGAAAATTTTACAGAGAAATAAGGACACAAAGAAAACGAAAATTTTCAGTTTTGAAAGATAGGATGGTAGGTTTTTAGTTAAGCATTTTCGGATAATAATTGCAATTAAAAGTTTCAGTTTTGATAATTTTCATATTTTTTATTTTTAGCATATAAATCAAATTAAAACAAAAAAAGTGATGCAAATTTAACCAGAACTAGTCTTTTTCATATATATGCAAACCCAACATAATGATTTCCTCAAAATTGAAGTTTCTATAATTTTGTTGTAACTACTTGAAATATCTTTCGAAAAAATAAACATGATATAGTACTAGTATATAATAATACTAGGGATAAGAAAATCTTTTGTGTTATAAAATCTATAATACAACTAGAAATCTATATTAAACAGCTGCAAAAAAATACAAAAAAAAATAGTTTTTAATACCACCACACATTATTAATGCACGTTCAAAGCATATAGGGACAAACCTCTCTTTCTTTAAAAACGATTAAAAAAAAAAATTGTCATCGTAGGGATAAAGAGAACAAAAACAATCATGAGTCATGACATTGCTTATAATTCTTAAAGAAGTATGATCTCAAAACTCGTCAAAAATTCAAGAAACACAACTAAAACGTATGTGACCGATGAAATCGACGTATACCCGTAAACTAAACACTTCAATACGATCACTAGTGTATCATTTTAACATTGCATGGTTCAAAATCGATATAGAAATGGTTTATTCTACTTATTTGTATAAGTATAAATATATATATACAAGAATTTTGAAGCCTTAATTGTGTCTTAATGCAACCACATACGTCAAAAGCCAAAAGCAAATAGAGAGTATCTTCGACTTTACGAGTTTGAATACTATATGCTAGGCTGAAAATTTTATTAATTAACCTATCTAAAATATGTTTATGGACGTATGACTCGAGACTTCTTGGTTATAGAAAAAATAATATACTTAAGACTATATCACTACCCAAAACTTTGAATGCATTTACACAAATTGGTTATACAGTATATATAATTGATGGTATATTACATGCCGCCTGATATTAGATATTTACCGTTACCGTAGAATATATTATTTTCTAATGTCAAATACAAGTGATCCAAACTTATAAAATTTATGTAACTACTAATATAACTCCTCTCTAATTCTTTCTTCTTCTTTCAATTAAGGAAAGAAAATTATATTATATAATACGCAAAGTTGGCATTAGAGAAATGAGATATTTAAGACGACCAGATCTTAATAAGAATCCAATTATAGCAATTATGTTTCTTACAAAATTTTCAAAGGGAAAATGAAGAAAATTAGAACCATGATAAGTAATTAATTAAGGACAAACTAATAATAGAAAGAAGTTATATGTAGTAGTAGTAGCAGGTTTCTAATATTATAATCACAGACATACCACGTGGGTTGATTCTTATAACACAGCTGTTTTAGTTAATTAAGCCTATGAAGACGATTACTGTCCTAAGACAATGAATATCACAATTCTATTATATAGTATGTGAATATGTGAGGTGCTGATCGATGATGATGATGATGATGATGATGATGATTGTTCAATTTCTTTTCAATTTAAATCTAATTTTTGAATAAACAACACCTAAAACTACTGTCATGGGTCATTTGCAAATTTTTAATTAGAATTTGTTTATCATATCTTTTATTTACTATGTTTGTTTACTCTTTGAAATGAAACGTGAGTTAACAACTACAATATTGTGTAATTTGGTTTTAAATTTTCGGTCGTCTAATGCATTCTTAATTTGGTTTTAAATTCGGTTAGTACTTATGATACATGTCACACTAAAACTAACCAAAAATACTCTTAGTTACCTACATTTTTTTATTCCAATGAACGATACATGAAATATAAAGTAATCCAAAACACATTCTTATAAGTAACTAAAACAATATTAATCTGTTAATGGAAATGAAAACCATCCAACTTCTTTTAGCTTCCACTTCATTATGTTCTCTCTGAAACATCTGAAAATAACTGCCAAATGTTGATATGCTCTATAAATGAATAAATGATGATGGTTTTATGTTTTGCGAACAAACTTAGCATCGTTGTCTTCACACCCGCTGCCAAGTTTGCGGGGGAGTATTAGAGTCCACAAGAAAGAGAAGCCCAAGCCCAATGTGATGTTATGTAATTAGGGTTCTTTACCAAGATAGATTACTATATAAAGTGTGTAATGAACATCATTGTCTTCAAGCTTGAGAGTTGTCAAAGAGGCAACTCTCCTTCTTCCCCATTTTATGATTGAATCAAAATATTACTAATCTTGGTGACAATCTAAAGCTCTCTGCTTTCTTTATATTTACTTGCACACAATAAATCTCAATGAGCTATCTTTATATTTCTAGCTTAATAAGCTCTTTAAGAGCATTTCTTTGAGTTTGCTTTCAGTTCGAGCCAAATTTTGTCTATTGCATTTATGATTTAACATACCAAAATTTTGAATTTCACTAAATCAGAAAAAAAAAAAATCGTCTAACATTAAATGGGCTTTGTGCATCATAATATCATATTGGACATGCCCATACACTAAAACCTGCAATATATTGCACTTGTATATATTTTTTTTTTGTCTGTAAGTTCTTTTGTTTGATCGAAGTGTTGGTTATGGCAAAAGGTTGCATATCAGAATTATAAAATGGATGTTGTATTTTATTATCTACTTCTGCGATATACTGTATTATATATATATATATATAATATTCCCAGATAAAATACCATTTTTTATATATATATGAGATTCCCTTCTATTTGTTCTGTGAAAATTCTCTGAATTATATATAAAAAAACATATAATATAAAATTAATTTACAAAATTGCACAGCCTGGATAAAAAATTGTTCAATGTCTTTTCTAAGTAACAATGTGGAATGTTTATGTTTTTACAGAAATAAATCTATAAATTAATGTACTAGGCTATTAAAAATAATAAAATTCTTAAGGCAGAAAATCATTGGTCAACTTGCCATATGGTGATGAATATGACTATATGAGTTCTGATCAGTGACCATTTCGTCTAAATATAAGTAGGCTTATACATGCTTGTGCACAATTTGAAAAAAAAAAAAATTATAACAAATATTTAGTGTGTAGGAAAAATCAAATTGTATGAAGATGAATCCTTCAAAAATATTAGTTGCATTGACTCTTATTGTTCTCATCGCAGCTTCTTCTGTCCATTGCCGACCAAGTGATCTCGTCTTCGGTATGTTTTTTTCTTCACATAATCCCTAATGTTACATATAGTGAGTCTGTAAGTGGATCAAGTCCCTAATGTTGGTCTGTCAAAAAGTTTAATTAGGTATTGGATTGCATAAACATATACCATAACTATAACTAAAATTGTCTAATAGCCAAAGAAAGCCTTCATGTCTCAGCTTTATAAACATTGATCTCTCCTTATGATGATGATGTTCAGGGGCGGACCCACAGCCAAGATGGTGGGGGCAGCTGCCACCAGCAAAAAAAAAAAAAAAAAAAATATTAAAAAATTATTAAATATTATTAAAAAACAAAATCTGCCCCCACCAAAAAAACTATTTTTTATCTTTTTTTTTGGGAAAGCCCATTAACCCATGTACTAAAAAATATATATTAATATATAAGTTAAATACTTACTAATATAGACCTAATTTTTTGTTATTTTCTTCTTCTTTAGTCCTTTGGTTTCTTTATGTGACAAAAAATCAACAACTATCAATTTGTGAGTTTATTTTCCTGATTTTTTTTACAATCGTTTCTATTATATAAGCATTATTTTTTAGTCAGTTAATTTTATTTAATCAGTTCAAGCTTATAACTATGTTTCCTGGAAAACATTATATAGGTTTTTATGTTATACATGACTATATTAGTTTTTGCAGTGATAATTGTTTATATGTTTATTCTATGGTTAAGCTTTTATGGAAGTTTGTTACATAATTTATAAATTTTAAATTAATAAATTTTAAAATATAAGTCTATAAATTCAAAATTTTCTAAATTTTTACTTAATAACATGTTTTTTTGTTTTTAGTTATTTGAATATGTCACAAATGAAAATGTGGTAAAAAGGTTTCAATTGTTAAATGAGCGTCTGAGTGGTTTTGTAAGATGTTTTAAAGTTTTACATGACAATTTTATGTCTTTTATAATTTAGTATTTGATAGTTTTTTACTATATTTTTGCCCCCATTGAACAAATTTTCTAGATCCGCCCCTGATGATGTTCGTCTTCCTTTGTTAGGAGATGGTACATTTTAGAGGTTCTTATATACTAAAAATATTAACGATCCAATTCTCAGAATTGCTGGGCTGCTGGCTACATTTCCTAGATGATCTTGGTTATTTTACCAATTGTTGTAACATTTTTATGTGGTATGTTTTATATACAAATATATAGATATACATTTTCTTTTCTTCTCTAAGAGATTTTATATTTTTTTTTAAATGATAGTAGGTCAAACGGGAAATTGTGGAGAGTCAAGTCACGAATGTAACGATACGTTCCAAAATGATCAGTGTGAAAAATATTGTAAGCCTAATTTCACACATGGTACTTGCCTTCTGAGGTCTTTCGTAGGACCTAATCCTCCTTCGTATTATTGTTGTTGTTATTCATAGATTCAATATGTAATTCTTACTACAAGATAATAAAGAGTTTATTAAATTCTAATTATTTATTATCATTTGATCGTACTGCACTGTCTGATATAAAAATTACACTAATTAGTTTTTTTTTTTTTTACTAAACATGTTACAGAAAAGTTCAAATACTAGTTTGTTGTCAATAGAAAGCTCTTTTGTAAGAGACAGTATAATAAAATTAATTCAATCTTGATAATTAAAAATATGGTTATGTTGTTTATGTGTCTATTCAATCCGTAGTGCTATATATTATCACTAGATCTTTAACTTAAAATGACATACCAAATACCAAACTACCTTTTAGCTTTTAATTAGTTAAAAATCTACACTTACTACATTAACAAAACTAAAGAGGAATTGAATCTTGTATGTAATTATAATTTGGATAGACTCCCAAAATTTATGGTTATGAACTTTTTTATGTAATTATAAATAGATCATTTGACACTATACTAATGTACATCAAACTATATACAATATTGGTTTATTAAAATGGGTTTCTCCAAAATGATGGTTACATTCATTCTTGTTGCTACACTGGCCATTTCATGTAAATTTTTCTTTGGTTTTTGTTATTATTTTAAATATATATTAAGTTATTGTTACATATACAATTTCATATACTTCTCCAAAAAAGAAATAAAATCTTCAATTTTCTTTGGTTTAATGATTGATAGTTGAAACCGTGCAAGCTGCGCCTCCCCGTTGTGGACAAAACTGTACTGAGAGATTCTTGACTCAAGACTGCGATAAATATTGTGTAGGTTTGTCTTACAAACGTGGTGTTTGCATTTTATCCGAAGGACGTCCTCCAAAAACTTCTACATATCGTTGTTGTTGTTCGTAAATGAAATATATGATTCTTAATCCTCATTGATCAAATATGTTTATGTTTTTTTCCGACTATAATAAAAAGTTATCTATTGTTTAATGAGAAAACAATATTTTTTAATGGAGTATTTTTCATATGATGATTACAATAATTATCATTACAAGTAGTAATTGTTATGTTCAATTGTTAATGAATATCGATCTCTACAAATTTAATTTATATATACATCAAAATACAGGGAAGAAGACATTTTTTTTTTAGTGAACAATACTTAATCAATTGTAAAACCCGATTTTTATAATAATCTTTGGTGAAATTAACTTGTTATCCTAATCTTTATCCTAATATTCGTTCAATAGTTATCTTAAGACAAGAAAAATGTCTACTTATATATGATGTCTACTAATCTTTATCCTAATATTCAATAGTTATCTAATAAGGATTTGGTATATATGATGTGTCTAATAATATCAAATTAAGGAGTCTTTAGTTCTCTTTTAAGCAAGGAAGTTATTCAAACATACCAATAGTAAAAGCAGATTTTATAACCTTTATCATAAAATATTAATTTTAATAGTTATCTTTAACCAAAAGAAGACTGTTCTTACATAGATAACATAGATAGGTGGCGTGTCTAATATCAAAGGAGTCTCTTACAAATATGGAAGTTATTTAATTCTTTAATATTAGCTAAATAAATTTAATTAGATCCAAAATAAAATCTCAAAATTCAAAACTAAAGATATCAGCAACTTTAATTAACAACAAAGAAAGAACAAAATCTACCTCTCTATAAATAAAATAAGAATATAATTATTACATTGCATATTTGCATTATTACCGTTTTGTCTTGTTTTCAACTTTTATGTTGTCAAAGATGCTTATTAAAACAATAAGATATGGTCATGATCACTTTATAATTATAAACTATAACTTTTTATTTCTCTGCTAAACATACATCAAACGAGAACTTCAAAAGAGTGTAAGAAGGAGTTTGAAAATGGATTCTTCCAAATTTTTGGTTGCATTGACTCTCATGGTCATGATGACCATTTCCTATGACCTCTTCACAGGTATATGTCTCTCTACAAATACGATTATCACATTTTTACTTAATTCATACTGATTTTTTTTCTTTTTGGGTAATTTAAAAATCTATATGATGATGATTTTGTAGGAATAGGAATAAATGCGAGAACGGTGCCTCCGACTTGCTACGAAGGTTGTAACACAACATTTTATACTCGAGAATGTAACAAAATGTGTGTGGGATTGGCATATAAAAGTGGTAAATGCATGTATCCTCCTCCTCTTGATCATAGTCTTCCTCCTCTTGATGATGGTCTTCCTCCTAAGCGACCTTACTTCCCTCGTTGTTGTTGTGACCCTATCATTCTTGCACCTCCTTCGTTTTGATTGTTGTATAACAGAACGAGCAATTATCAATTATATACAAACGTGAAAATTTTCAAATTATTATTATACATATATATATATTCTAATTTTCATAGCCGTTTTAATTTAGTGAAATGTAACACCGTAATTTTCATATTTTTCTTCATAAATAAAGGAGTTGATTTTGAGTTATTCTGATGGATTTAGTTCAGTTTGAATATAACCAGTTTTTAATTGGTCTATCTAAAAAATTAAACTAACCAGTTACAATTTACTTCAAGAATTTGTATTGCACATACATTCCAAACTAGATTTTTCAAAACAGAAACAAACCAAATTTTGGCTAATTAATTCAGTTCATAAGACTAAACTGACCGGCAAGGCGGCAAGATGAAGAATAAAATTTGGTAACATGATTTGTTTGGTTTGGTTCAAAATTACTAAGCCCATTAATTAAAAGAATAAAACCTTAATTCATATATTTAATTCTTCCCTCTTCGATAAAAAGAAATGGAAAAAAAAAAATTCTCGCTTTAAAACCGAGCAAAACCAAAAAATTAATTTGGTCCAATTTGGAAGCGTTAAAAAATTGGACACATCAAAATTCTGAGGTTCTGAAACAAATTTTACCAAAAAATCTTGAATGCACTCAATCAAAGTTCAAATGTTAAAGTAAATATTCTTTTTGCCTATCTAACTTTTTCTATATCAATTTGTTCAAGATAAAACGTATTTTTATTTTACTGTGAAGGAGAGATTTTCAAAAGAAAGAAAACAAAACTATCCATAAACTCATGATCATGTGAAGGAAAAATGACAACTTGATGTAAAACAATAAAGAAAAATTGCTATCTCAAAGCACTATTATTATTACAACAAAGTGATTTGCTCAGAATTATTAAGTTAAACCAATTTAAAACAAAAAATAGAACTTGGGAGAAGTACTGGTTATGAATTTATGATTATTAACATATCTAATAACAATAGACTCTCTAATTATAGTTGAAGCCATTTTTTGTTTACAATAAACCATTTGATTTGCTTTTTTTAATAATTTGAAAAAGATAATAATATACCAATTTAATTATCAATAAAATTCTTAATCTGATATTTGCTTTGTTTATTTTTACATCAAATCATATCTTAAGAAATTGGAAGAAATTTACTACCACTTAAGCTAATAAAGTAATAATATATAATGGATCCTTTCTTTTCTAATTTTATTTATTGGAGTTACTATTGTTATGTTTTCATTAAACCATAACTATAGTAAACTACTATTTTGCTCCTTTTACATTAAACCATAATAATTGTAAATAATGTGGTCATTATAACATTTATTATACATATATTTAATAATAATATCATATATTATTATATCAAGTGCTCATTTTGCATCAAAATTAAAACCATATCATTAAAAAATAAATTTAGAAAATAAATTGTTTGATAGAGATAGAGATAGAGTATAAAATGAGTTCTTCCAAATTGTTAGTTGCATTCTCTCTTGTGGTTATGTTGGCCATTTCCTATGATCTTTTTTGTGGTGTGTTTTCTTTATACTTTTGGACTTTATATTTGACGTATACCTATTCCTACATTTTCCCCTACTAATACATGTTTTATGATTGTAGATATGAAAATAAATTCTAAAACTCAGACGTGCTTTGACCATTGCAATGGGACTATCCAGAGCAAGGAAAATAGGAGCTGCAACAAACGGTGTTTGGAAATGGCTTTCACTGGTGGCACTTGGCTAGTTGTATTGAACAACATGAACTTCCTCACAAACTTTTTATTCATCGTTCTTGTTGTTGTAACCATTATGTATAAAGATTATTCTTTTAGTGGGAGAATCATATAATACAAATTTTCATTTAATTGTTGTTATATTTAAGCATTTCCTAGCAAATCCCCCTTGACGTTGCTAGGAAGTTTGTTAATTAGTTTGTTAATAAATAAAATAAAAAGAGTTTGTTAATTATTTTATGTGGTTAACTATAATGTTATTAGTGTACATTTATTCTGTCATTTAATTGATGGAAATTGCATCTTTAATAAAATAAAAATTTGAATGCACCGTAGAACATTAATTATTTGTAGTATTGTTATATCTCTTACATTAATTCGATTTGGCATAGCTATTCTCTTACAGAAGTAAATGGTCAATTGGTCATACTATGTATGGTAGAAAAATAAAAAACGAATTTATGGTTATGATTATAAGTATTGACCATTGACCAGTGAACAATGACCATTTGATGTAATTATAAATAGACGTACTACAAAATTGATAAGCAAGAACAAAATAAAACATAATCATAAAAAGATCTAGTTAAACCATTCGAGAAATTGTAAAAGAAACTGAATCGTATGAAGATGGGTTCCTTGAAAATGTTGGTTATATTCGCTCTCACCGTTCTCATTGCTATGTCCTCTGATCTAGTCTCCGGTATTCAAAACCTCTAATTTGAAAATTGTAGCATCATTTACTAAATTTCTTTTTCTTGTTAAAATCATTTACTAAAATACCTCTTCTAATCATTTACAAGATTGTAAAAATTGTGAATTTTATGTCAAAAGTGGTTTTATTTGTTTCTAATAGGTAATATTGCACCGGGGAAGGCTTCAAATCCACTGTGTTTCAATCCTTGCACTCCTACGTTTGGCAGCAACGAATGCAAAACGTTTTGTGTGAATAAGAAATACAAAGAGGGTTCTTGTGTTGGTTTTGGAATTCCCCCTACTTTCAAATATTGTTGTTGTAATAATTAATTCTCATTGTTAATTAGAGTTTGAACGATAATAATACTCCATTGTTATACTTTTACTATTACCTGAATAGTAACATAAAATTTGACTGACGAGAAATTTTGATTCGACTTATACTATAGGATGATGTTAGTTTGACTAATTGATTGACAAAAAAAAAAAGTTTGACTAATTTAATTCCACAATAATAATATAGTTTCCTTATAAATTCTTATCTAATCCCACGACATCAATTTCACTTGTTAAACAATAAATGAATTTTAAAACCTATCTTAGATATTTTGTCTTTAGAAAAAAAAAGATTTTCAAGATAAAATAATAAAAGTTTGAATACACAAAGATTTCTTTCTTTTTTTTCTTCTAAGAAAACTGTATTACACGAACTGTCATTAATTACTCATATCAATATTATTTATTTTATTTTTTTGATCAAATCAATACTATTTATTTATTTTCTTTTCATTTCATATCATTTCATCATCCTATTGTATTTTAAGGCCGCGAGGTTCAATGAATGGTTAGGCGTATGTATTATTTTCAATAATCCAAGAGAGACTAGAATGGACCACGTAAATATTAAATACTATGGTATATAACTAACTATACTCTATACTTATACATAAGTGTAATTCAGTCAATAACAGAAATATTCAAAGTAGCATCTAGCTACTACTTTAGTTTATGTTATATGTGTATATGAAGTTCAACACCAACCTAACTATGAATAATATTGATTTATGTCTATTTTCACAATTTTTTATTAAATAAGAAAAAAAAAACGAAAGTAAGCCACATCGCTTTTAGTTTTCTTCTAAAAATTATTTAAGGTATTTAGTTTTATGAAAGAAAGTAACTTTATTAAGTTATTTCATATTTATAATATATAGACACACATAAGTCAACAAAAAAATAACATCTTACTCCTAACTTTTATAATGGACCTCGTACCAGCTTTCGTTATTGATAAATATTGAAGTTATCATAGTTACTTACTATGATAAAGATAATAACGATCAGGTTGACTAATTTAATGCATGTTGTATATACTCATCATCTCAAATCTCACTGTATGAACAGTTTTATAAATTGGGTTTGGTATCTCGAACAACGTTGACTATATATATGTATCTACTTGTTTGTGTATGAATCTCATACATACACCTTTTCTTCTAGTGGACAATTATTTAAATCTACCTTTAGGTATAGAATACTATTCATTGATTTGTGCTTATTTCAAACTAAACATAAGGGAATACAAAGTCGACGATTGCTTTGTTATTATACGTTGAAATTGAAAACTAACCTTTCTATGAGTCTACATATATATATATGAATAATTAAAAAATTTATCACTATTATGTCCTGCTCCACCAAATGTGTTCCTTGATCATCAAAATTCAAGATAGTGCAAATATATTTAGTGAAAATAATATATAGCAAAGTGCGTAAAAGTAGAAGACCTTTGAGCAAGTGGAGAGTTCTTCGATTTAAAAACAACAATTAGTAGAAGAACATGCACAACAAAGTCAAGATAAATGATAACAGTACTAATTAAGCTCTTAATATACTAAGTATGTATGTAATCCACTTACAAACTTGTCAACCATTATATGACTTTTTAATAGTAAACAAATGCAACGTTCTTCGAAGTATAGAAACCAATTAGTATAAGAAAATGCGCAACAAAGCAAAGATAAAGAATACAATAAGTTTTAATATAATATGCATGTAACAAACCTAGATATTTAGGAGTTTCTGGGATTTGAAAATCATGATTGATAGTAAATGCTTTATGTGCATTTTGAAATAACATTTTTACGTACGTACGCATTAAAATTTTTACTGTGGATATTGAAATCTAATAATATATCATAAAACAGATAACATGGTCTTTTAACTAGTATTTCGAAATTAATAAATGAAGAACAAAAGAATTTGAAATTAACAATCTACTAACAAATTATTTTGCTTTGAATTTCTAGATCAATAAAAGACATGAACCTATTAATGAACTCTCTTTATGACCTTAGGAAAATGGAAAATTTTAGAGAAAAAACAACTAGTAGATAAATGCACAACAAAGCCAATATATATATATATATAAACCTCTTAAAATACTAAGTACGTAAAACACTTTACACACTTATCAGCCATCTTAATTATGACCTTTTGAGTGTAAACAAATGAAAAGTTCTTCGAATTCAAATAGTAGAAGAAAAAGCATCACATCGGCTAAGCTCTGAAAAGTACAAAAGTATATGTAACACAATTACAAACCCCACAAAAAAATAAAAATAAAACAAATAAGATCAAGAAGCAAAAGAAGCAAAACATTATGATAGATTTGAAGCATTATTATGATCATGATGATGATGAAACATCAACATGTCACTACCGTAACTCTCCCTATCATCTTCACTTCCACCATTTACATGAAAAGTCGAAGACGAATTCAACGGTGTCGAGCTGCTCGACGAAGTCCCCGGTAGCATTGATGAACTGAAATTCCAACCGGCCTTGAAACTCTCACTGTCATTAATATGGTCGGATAAAAATGAAGCTGATGAGTAGTTTCCGGTTTGAGGGACTTGGTTATTAGATGGATCACCTGAACCGGTATAATCGAGATAGTCTCCCATAAATTCTCCATTATTTTGCCATTGAACCGGTGGTGTTGAATTGAGCAAACCGGTGAAAGTGATTTGTTCTGTACTGTTTAGGTCGTTTTGGAGATGTTGGTTTGGTTGGTATGATTCTGTCTGAACGTTGTTGAGGTGATTTAAGACATCGGGATTAATATTTGAAGTAGTGAGATCAAATGGAGTATTCATCGGTGGTTGGGACATAGATTTGAATAGTGATGAGGTGAGTAACGAAGAGAGCTGGAGAAGATTGATTCGGGGACAATGAGTCACCGGATCAATCCCCATACGTAAGAGTTTCTTTTTTATATGTGTGTTCCAATAGTTTTTGATTTCGTTATCAGTTCTTCCCGGCAAGTGAATAGCAATAACGGACCATCTATAGAAGAGAACAAAAAAAAAACTAAGTTAGATTTTAAGTTGATATCAAAAAGAGAAGTATAATTAGTTTTGACTTGCTACATATAAGGAGTTGAATATTGCAAGCTTAGCTTTAGACATTTGACCTTGGTATTGCTAATGTTCTTGTCTTTTAGTTGGATTTTTAAAAAAAATATATGCAAGTAATATTATAACAAAGACATGGAAGTCCAATGAAGTAGGTGTAGTAGTGGAAAACTAGGTCATTTCACTTATTTTAATCATACATATTAACAAATATACACTAAATTTAATGAAGAAAAAGGGAAATTGGAAGATAGATCACTAACTTGTTTCCAAGAAGACGATGAAGTTGAATGATGGTTTCTTCCTCTTGAAGAGAGAACTCTCCTCTCTTGATATCGGGTCTTAGATAATTCGTCCATCGCAATCTACAACTCTTCCCGCATCTTTTTAACCCTTTTCAAGATCCACATCAAGAAAATTGAATAAGTACCATGAATTGTACGTTTTAGATGAATTAATTAACGTTGATATTTTACATGATAATGCATGGTAATCATTGTTTCTGAATTTTAAACATAGACGTAAACACAAAATACAAAATTTTGCTATTTACCGGCGTTCTTAGGAAGGGTTCGCCATTTTCCGGGACCGTGCGTTTGAATATAGCCGACGAGCTTTTCGTCTTCCTCCGGAGTCCATGGCCCTTTCTTCACTTCACTTTCCTCCGAGCTTGAAGATTTTCCCATCTTCTTTTTTAAATGTTATATGTGAGAGGGCTAAAGAGAGAGAAGGGGGAGCTAATAGCTTTGTGAACTTACTTAGAAAGAAATTATGGATTTCTGATAATCAAAATACAAAAATATATATGGTATATGCAAAGTCAAGTCAAGATGATTTGGTACCGTCCTTTCATCATCTATCTAAATACGTGTCTTTTTCTTGATGAAATACGTATAGAAGAAAGAAAAAGAAAAAGAACAGCTTATTATGTTGACAAAAACAAAATCTGGTAAATTTTGCTTTCTATTTTTAAAAGCCCTTCTTCCTTAGTAAACAAACAAAAAGCATGAGACTAAAACCCATCGCTATATTAACCCTAAAATATTCAATTTTGATAGAGTGAGAAATACGTGGCGTAATCTAGATGGTGTATGAGGACGTGTGATATAGATTTGTGATGAAGGTTCCATTTGTTTTGGTCTCTTTGTCTCAAATCATCAAACAGTTTTCATGATAGCTATGTTGCGTGTATATATGTTCAATGTTTTACTCATTAGTCATCACTATACAATTAATTAACTAAGATTATGTAAATAGTAGTAATATATGCATATACATTATCAATAGAAAGTTGAAAAGAATGATTTTAAAAACATAAGGTTATAAAAAATGCAAATGGATCAAAGTGTCGTCAAATTTCAGAAGCAAGCTATAGATTGTATTGCTCGAATTTATTTCAGAGCAATCTATAGATTTAATGACAAAGCGTTGTTGCAGTGCAACATACGTACACAACAAGGCATGTCATCAATGGTCAAAATACATGTGTGATTAATCGAACGATAATTATAATAATATACATGTGTCTTTAAGTGAGTGAGTGCAAATGCCGCCGGGTGTCGTTGAATTTGAATTGCAAGATACTTTGGTTTCAATCAGAAACATGGATGTCAAGTCAAGGATTTAAGAAAAATTCATTTCATATTTGTAATAATAACCAAAAAAAATTACTATTTCAGTTAAAAAAGGTTAGTATTAGTTTTAGATTATTTGGAAAACATGCATTACGTGTATATAAACACGTAAATTTACATATAATTGTTTTATTGCGTTTTTTTCTTCCATACTATATAATTGTTTTACATGTGATATGTCACTTGTATAAAAGTTTAAATCATTTCAAGATCTTATATAAAATTAATATGTATTTTATTGCCTATGTATAATTCCATTTTGTAACAGAAAAAGAGTTATTTATCAAAACAAAAATAACTTGATCAGCCTTATGGGTAGTAAACATGCATTACAGGTAGTAAAATTTTAGATTATTTGGTAAACATGCATTACAGGTATCTTCCTCAAATTCTCTATACTTCTTCTCCAACTACTTCAAACGTTGTTCAGCCTTATAGACATCGGTAGCATATGACCCATGCTTCCTTATGTCGTAAGTTGCGTCGTAAACATCTCGTGGTTTGTTGGTTTGGAGAAGCTTCGTCCACCCACGAGTCGGTTGGACGGATCTTTTCGAGCAACATAGCTCCAAATCGGAACATTATTAGAGAGAGAGAGTGTGTGTGTGAGTGAGAGAGTGAGAGAGTGAGTAAGTGAGTTATAACGTGGTGTTAGAGAGGTGTTATATAGAGAGTGAGAAGAGTATAAGGTGATGTGCAAGGTATATATTGAACACAAACGTGTTCTAGTATCTTTTCACAACATAAAATCAAAGCTTGACCGATTCTTGACCAATCTATTTGTCAGGAAAAAAGCCATAAAGCTGCTATTGAATTTTCATATACATATGATTTCATATTTGTAATAATAACAAAAAAAAAATGAAAATTTGGTTAGTAAAAGTTTTAGATAATTTGGAAAGCATGCATTACGGGTATCATAGAATAGAAACATGTAAATTTACATATAATTTTTATATGTTTGACATATAAAACGTAAAAATTGCGTTTTTTCTTCCACGGCATATAATTGTTTACATGTGATCTGTCACTTAAATAAAAGTTTAAATCATATCAAGATCTCATATGAAAATAATATATGTGTTTTATTGCCTATGTATAATTCATTTTTGTAACAGAAAAAGAGTTATTTATCAAAAACAAAAATAATTTGATCCCTACCAAAAAAATGAATAATGATAATTACTAGGACGACAAAAAAAATGCAGACAATATGGTCAAATATTATTTTAATTCTCAACTAAAAGGAAATACGATAAATTATTATTGGTAGATTATGTTATTATTGCCTGGTTTTATCTACAACAATCCCAACAACCCAATTTTAAAATTAAAATAGCACAATAATTTGTCTTCTTTGTAACATAAAATAATAATCACTTTCATAAAAGAAAATTGATGAACTCATGATGGGACGTCGTTTCAAATGTATTAGTTTTCTTTAAAATTTGCAACTATCAATTATGCAAAGTCTTTTCATAACATAAACCATCGATTATGTAAGTCTTCCGCATGTCAATTCGTTAACCAGCTACCACTTTTCATTTTAGGTATATATAAGAAACTATTTATACTTAATATAAACTATTCAAATATTAAACGTTTTTTATTTTTTATTTTTTCGAAAATTGATTTTTCTATTATTGTTTAATATTTTCAAACTTCATTACATCATTGGCTTGCTGGTCCTTCTCTTTCCATTTTATTAATAATATATATTCAATACAGCATGTACTTAAGTTCGTTCTAGAATATGCTACAGTTCTTTTTAACAATATATATTTAACAAAATGATTTAAAAGTTCTAAGAGTGAAAGTGATAGAGATAACAAAACTTAAATAAAATTTTCAATTATATCATTCAAAGAATTTTAAAAAGTTATTACTGAAGAAATAAACAAAAAAAAAAAAAAAACCAAGACTAATTAGATACCAAACCGCATATATAACACCTACATTTAAACTAATCTCAAATTTTTTAATTAGGAACTAAATGCAGCTAATAATCTAAAAGCTTTTTTTTCCGTAACTTTTTGTTTTTATAATCAACTTTTTTAGACACAGAAGGAAATTAAAAGGTACGTTGACATATGTTTCTGTGGATTAATTCAGTCGTGCGGCGTGGATAATGTTGTACGACACGTTCCAATAACTTTCAATTTGTATCGTCCCTACAAAAACTTTATCAAATTAATTACATAATTGTCAAAACGAAAACATAAAAATATTGTCACCATGCATCAGATTTAAACCCACAAAACCAGTACTAAGATAATAAATATCCTAGTTATATTATCTAACCTTGCATTAGAATTATTGTTTTTCGTTGACAACATATTGCCCAAAAAATATTATATATGTTTTTTCAATGATCAATTAGTAATAATGTAATGTTATCCTAAAAGTTGAGTGGGAAAGCATAACTTAGAAGGAAAGAATAACAAAATTTGAAAGCATAACTATAAACGAGACGTGACAAATATGAAACAATCCTTCCTGTACACATAAAGTTCCAATAATAACCAAATATGAACAACGAACACAAAAGGGTAAATTTCATTTTCGTAAACAGATTCAAAGAATCATTGTTTCTTTGTCAAATCTCATCAGGCAATTGAAATATTTGCGTACCAAAAATTTGAAGAGATGAGTTCTGTAAGAATACAGCGACTCCACATTTAGCACTGTTGAATCCATCCCATACCGTGAAATGAGCCGTCCCCGACACCGTCTTCTTAGCTGTTAAATCTTTGACGGTGCATAACTTTTCTAGCTTTCTTACGACGTAGTCATTGGACAAGACTCTCCCTGAGTTCTCTCCTCGAGGACAATCGTTCACTAAACCGTTCTCGTATAGCGCCACCATTATATCGATCCCGTTCGAGTCCACTTTCATCCTCAAAGCTCCTGTGAGAGATACTTGAAGGGTTTCTGAGGTTGGTCTTTGGAATGTGGCCTAATAAAACAAACCAATATAACATTTTCACTGATCTTGATATCATAATGTAACCATGAAGATGTTGATTATAAACCATAGCAAATATTCATGTTTACGTAACAACAAAAACACATTACATATACAAAGGATGTAATAGTGCCTTGTATTACACGCTACAAACAAAACACTTAATGAGTCTTGAACCATTAAACAGAACACCTAGTTAGTATATAACTCATAGTGTAGTAAGAAGTCAATCATATCGATTCCATAAACATGAACATATGTAAGAAATTACTCACCCGAAACGCAGGAGAAGGAAACCTAGGAGCTTCAACGATAGACTTAAGCAACGTTTCTTCTTCATTCCCAAGTAACTGAACACGACCTTGAACAACAAACTGTGGAGTAAACATGGTATCTTGATTCAACGCCTCGATATAAGCCTTTTGCCTCACCGTCCACTGACTCGATCCATACGGATCTTTCCATCCAACATGATCCCAATAATCAACGTGAAAAACCAAAACCATCGCTGGAGAACCACCGCATCCACCATCTCTACAAATCTTTCCATCGAAATCACCACGACCAAGACGCGATACGAGCATCTCAGCTTCCGGGGAAGTTTTACATCCTTGAGACGAGAAAAGCTGAACAAGAACAGGTCCGTCACCTACCGGCACATCCGCAGCTACAACAGCCGCGTTATGACCGGACACACCTTTTCCGGTGGTGGTGGAGCTGGAAGTTGTAGACCCTCTGACGCCAAAACATGAGAAAAGACGAGGCGCCATTGGAGGGAGAAACAAATATAAAAATGTTTCCCCAAGGAAAAAAAAAATGTGAAAACGTTCAGAGAAACATTGAAATATTGGAAGGAGGAGATCAAAACTAAGTTTCGTAAGGCTAATGGTGATGAGATAAAGGCGGCAACAAGTGTCTTTAGCCAATATTTTCTTCTCCTCTTTTTTCTTGGCCTTTGGTGGCAAAAGCTGTAATTTGTTTGAAGTTTTATTGTTGTTGCTTTGGGAGGAAGAAAGTGTTTGGGTGACACGTCCTTATACGAGTCCATGACAGTTTACCAAATGTTTCAACTAACATATATAGAGAAATTAATCGAACCGGTTGGTCGTTTCCGGTACAAAATTGAACCAACGGTTCTACAAAGGTACAATGCCAATTGCGATTTTTGTCACATATTTTTCTTAAGACCTACCTAAGTTGTTATCATTTATGGTTTAATTTATGATGATCCAAGTGTAGTTTGTTAGAAACTATTCTGAAATTCAAAATATGTGACGGAGTTGGGAATTGTGGTTGTTGCCTCCGTTGGTTTCTTTTTTCTTTTCTTTTTTTAATCTTAAAAATTGTAAATCAAGCAAAGTGAGGTTTCGCAAATGAAATTAACTTTTCTGAATTGTGTAATTTATATAAGTTTTTGTTATAATTGGAAGGTAAAAAATGTAAATGTAAACTCAAAGAGAAAGAATTGGACCAATGTTCTTTATTATTTTAATCATATATTCATATGCTATACTATATATATATGATTAAAATATATAATTTCGAAGGAGAAAAGAATAGTTGAGAGATATATAATAAGAATAATATCAATCAATAATCATCGAAATCGTCGGGATTAGGCTTAGGAGAAGTTAACATTGCAGTATAGAGCCTCAATTTGTCTTCTCCTAACGATGCACATCTCGACAATGGTCTTCTCGGCCTTATGAATGACAGTGACGTCAACGTTAGCCTATGCTTGTACCTATCACGTTAACAAGAATTGTTTTATTCACACACAATCAGAAAATAATTTTATCAATTTGTATTTAAATAAGTAGAAGAAGGTCTTAAAACTACCACTTTCCTATTTTTGGTTGCTTATAAAATATAACTTAATTTTGCATTTTTAAAAACATGCAAATTTTTTTCATATTTTTATTTTTTGTAAAATGATTTCAACAAATGAGAGGTACCTCCGCCAAGCTAGCTGAACGGCAACCGCGGCCCAAGTCCGCCATCCAGGAGAATAATAGCGAGCACTGCGTTTGACTTTCTCGTTGACAAAAGTGTAACGAAAATGCTGCGTCACGTACTTAACATCCTCGGCGTCGAGTCCAAATGCTTCGGTGGTCTCGAGTGTTACAAGCGTTGAAGAAGACGGAGGTAGCCTCTCCACGAAAGGTCTTCGGAGACACCACGAGAGAAGCTCGTCGCCACTAAAATTTCCCGGACCTAACATGCAACAGCTCTTGACGCCGTCTCTTAAAAACTGACTGCTTTGAAGATGACCTCTCACTACGAATAACATTCTTTGCACTGCATCTCCTTCTTTCTGAATCTGCATTTAAAACAAGAACATTACTTTGTGACGTTATTCGTTTTTAGGTTTCTTGGATCCTACGTTAACAAAAGAAGAATAAAAGAGAGTTACAAAGTTGTCGCACAATCTTTCACAAATGAACCCAATCCCAAAATATAGATGGATTGGTATGAATCAGTTTCATGCTACAATTGTTAAGAAGAGTCACATGTGGATGAAATAAATTCTAGACCAATAAAACGAAACCCTTTACATAATAAGATAACAGCTAGCATTAAACTATATCATCTCTTAGTTGCAATGAGTTTCTTACAATTCAAGTTTGCAATTTTATTTATTTTTAGTCGTTGAAGTGTATCTTATTAAACTTAAAAAACAATGGCTAGCTGTTTTGTCTTTGAATATTTTTCCACCCTATAACATAAGTTTACTAGATAGCTTGATGACATTGAAATATATATTTCAAAAGTTTGAAGGTAACTTACTGTTTCTCCTTTGGTGAAAATAAGAGACTTAACACGGTCGCATATATTCTCAAGCACCAAATCATCCATATGCTGAAACAACGGGACCTAACAAAACCCCAACTACTAATTGATCAATCATATCATTAAATAAGTTCATCTTCTTTGATGAATTATAATTTGTAGTGAAACTAACTAACCTGTCGGACCAAATCTAAACAGAGATGGTATTTGATGTCTCTCCTAAGACCTTCCGGAAGGTTCTGAACCATCTCACACTCGTCTACACCGCGCATAGCGGCCCATCTCTGCCGCTCATAGTTCCGGACTCGCTGCCTAAACCCTAATGGCAAATGTCTCTTCTTCATCCACCACTCTACGTTCCTCATTTTCAAGTGCATTGCTTGCTTCTTTGAAGTTGTTGCGTGCAAAAAGACCTTCATTTTGAAATTAGCAACAATTTATAATTCCTTAGCTTATTTACCATACTATAAACTAGATTATGACAAAAAAATGTTTAGCCAATCTATATATATATATACCTTGATATTACCGATCAACATTGTAACGAGAAGAAGACCACTTGTCAGAACTATTATATTGAAGACAACCTCCGACCACTCTGTTGTGCTCTCCAAATTTCCAAATGTGCTATAATTATAGATAAAAACGATTAGTCAAACATTTTTTTTTAATATACATTCAGGTTATTGGAAAATGAATTAAAGACAAAGTTTATTCGATAAACCATTTAGGATATGAAATACCTTAGAGTCATGAGACCCCAAAAGATAGGAAAAAGGATTTTCTCCAACCGGCTTTCATTGCTCACAAGTTGAATGGTCCATTGATAAGCACCATATGTATAGTTGGTGTTGATATCTAAGCAAACTGATCGGGCTTGATGGTTTTTTGCCCAAGCTAGTCTAGCTTTGTCTAAGACCATCACAGTCGTGCCATAATACACCGGTTCCTTACATGACAACATCCTTATGTCGCATCCTATCGTGTTTTCACATTGTTCTTTAAGACATTTCGCTGATCTTTGAACTCCTAACAAGTACCAACATGCTCCTGCTGCCTATAGTTCATAAACATATATACGAGACATTAAGAGATTTATGATTGTAATTAAATACCTGATGAGTCATTGAGGGACAATTAAAAGTGAAACGTTGAATATAATAGTATTTGATAACAATAAGCTAATGATTGCATATTTTATTATTGTAACTTAAGACTTTCGTAAATTAATTAATCCTACGTAAAAACCAAAGCAAGTTGTGTTTAGTCTCATTAAATAATTTGATTGCGACTTGTGTGATCGAAAGAATCATACCTTCCTCCTAACAAATCTTTTCTTATATTTGGCATTTTCTGCTTTATTTTTTCTCTTAAAAGAAGACTCCCACAGCAATGGAAAAGGTCCATGTGAAAATATTTTAGGTGCGACATCTTAAATAATCTTACAACTACAAATCTTATTAAATATAATTATTTGGCACCTGAAAATTTCAACACTTTCTATATCGATAAGTAAGTTTTATAGAATTGAAACATTTTAAGCATATAACTAGACTTGTTACTATCACAATCCATAACAAGTCTTAAAATAACTTGAACATGTGTATACCTGAGCCATTGAAATCTCAATCCAATACGAAATCATAAATTTACATACACTAAGCAATGAAAAACGTTTGATCAGAGAACTTACATGAGCCGCGACGAAATAAGCAATCATGTTTAGTGCAATTCCCCACCAGACGGTGCCAAAGATGTAACCGGAAAAATTAGCATTGCGGCGGAGATGGCGGATTGAATGATATATCTTTGGTAGATACTGGAAGATGAATGTTACCAGCAAAACTGACACCACTAAAGTCACAGAGCCTCTCTTTAGAAGAGAAGGTATCACCACCCACAACACAACCTGCTCACAATATTTATTTATAAACTTTAAAATTGAATAATTGTAACAAGAAAACAAAACTGTACAATACGAATAGATAATTGAAAACGAATGAACTGTATTATTTTTGGTCCACACACGAACATGATTAGGTCAGACTAAGTGAGAGTTCTTTCAGACCATATAATTATTTGGATTTAAGATTTTTTTCTAGATTAGTCAATTTTTAGTTCAGTACTAGATTTGTTTACTATGATTGTGCCAATAAACAATGCTAGTAACTATTGTTAACTCACAAGAAATCTTCCTTCATATGTAGAAATAGTTAATAAAGTTAGTCACTATCTGTAGTGATATTCTAAAGTAAGAGCAATTACATATGTGCCTGCCTCGACTAATAAAATGGAACTATCTTAGTACGACCACTTCATTTATATTTGATTCTGTTATAACTATATATTAAGTAATTAAGTGCATATTAACATAGTTTTACACGATTGCTGATGAGTTTCTTTTTTGTAAAATGTTGAAATTTTCTCGATGGATTGTTCTGTAGTTTAGAAAGAAATTAAAGTAGAAGCTCTTTTGTAACGCTCTCTTTTGTATGCATTTTATCTTATATGTAAAAGACACTTAAAGACAATTAAATCAGTTTTGTTTGATATATAATACAATTAAAATATTATAGTTAACTATAAAACTAACCTGTGGTAATGGTAGTATGACGAAGAGATCGAAGAAGAACCCTCTCTTCTTAACGTACTGTGGAACGACCCTCATAGAGCCACGTGTCCCACCTCCTTTGTTGTTATCGCCGTCGCTATCTCCGCCGGGATAAGGCCACCGGCGAGCAATCTTGAACTGAACCCAAATGTTCCACAAGTGCAAAAGATCGGTCATGGAGCGTAAGGCAGTGACGGTGAGAGCGAGCCAGCCATCGACGAGGAGACACATACACGTGTCGTTCACCGATATGGTGTAGAGAAAAAGCGGGTCTACGAACAGACCCGTCGCGCAGACGAGGAGAAAGACTCTGTTCCATTCTTGAACCCATTTGGATCTCGGGTCAAGTATTCGACCCAACATCATCCATTTGTTGTTGTTATTGCTTGACCCGTTTCTTCTTCCTCCTCCGCACGTGAGTCCTACACGTGGGTCTTCTTCTTCTTCGTCTTCCTCTTCATCTTCGTCCTCTTCATCTTCTTCGATCTCTTCCATGTCTTCTTCATCTTCTTCCTCCTCCTCAGTGTTGTCTTCGTCTGAGTAGTATCCAACGCTGCTTGACGCGCGTGAGTCGCGTGAGAAACGTAGTGTCCGTGTGATTTCTTGCTCTGTCGCCATTGAAAGTACTAGCTAACGCATGCAACACACAGAGAAAGGGGACGAGATGATAAAATGAAATAGCTCTTTTTGTGAAGCTCTCTACAAAGAGGTTTCTTTGGAGAATGAGAAGAGAAACGTTGTCTTTTAAAAAAAGGATATTCTAAACTAGAGAAGAAATGACATAATGCTATGAAAATGACCATTATACCCTTCCGTAATTTATCTTTATTCTATGCTTAATCATATGGTTTATTTACGTTACATGAGAATAAAGTAGTAGTTAAAGATGTTGTAGAGAAGTTATTTTTACATTTGTACGTTTGTTAATTAGTAGCAACAAACAATATAAGAGTCAAGACACAAACATGGAAGTTATGACCTGTTTCAAAAAAAAAAAAACATGGAAGTTGTGACTTCAAAATTAATGCCCAGTCCAAAAATTGAGGTGGAGGGTGTTTTTGTAATTTGACAACGTAAGAGCATCATTGAGAAGAGTTTGGACTGTTTTGGTCTCATTCGTAGATACGTTCGAAGCCAAATCAATAAGAAGAGTTGTCGAAAAGGTTTTGTTCTTTTTTTTCATTGTCATAGATGGCTTTTTCTCTCAAGGATTTTGAACCTTAATTTATTTTATTTTATATTTTCGTATTTTTTAAAATGATTTTGTTAGTACTATATATATACTATAGAAGCAAACAAACATCTAGATGGTGATTGTATATATCCTTGTCGATTCAATAATATATGATTTCATTATTGAAACTGTTAAATTAGTAAAAGAAAAAAATGAAATAACATAAAGCCGAAATGGTACCATAAGCTGATAAGAAGTGTCACAATAGTTATTAATCAAAGAAGAGATGGGCTATACATAATACATGTTCGTGATCCAAATACAATTAGAACCATATCTAATATTCTCTTGATTGTCTTCTACATAATGATGACTAGCTATACAAGTTGTTGATGATGTGAGTCAAGTGACGAAATTATTCAACGCATCCTTATAAACCTTTCATTTATGCATATGCTTGATTTGGAAACGAGGTTAGTGATTGATACATTCGTTTTAGGAGTATTTATATCCGATATTAAAAATGGTCTATACATTAATCTCTCGTTTACCCTAGCTCCAAGTAGAATAGTTATAGTATATCTCTAAATATTTTTCGATAAATGAAATTTATATACCACATATATTTTCTTAAGCATATGGAGTTTTTATTTTCAGCATATAAAACCAAAATTTATAAAATAGAAAAAAGTGGAAAGATAGAAGATATGTGTTTGGCATGAGTCACATGAAATGTTCATTTTTGTTGGTTTGTTCAAAGAAATAAAAATGTATTGGAGCTTACTTGTTCACTAGGCTCCAACATAGTAATTTGTCATTTCATTGGAATATGTAATGTAACATCTCTCTCTTTACATATGGCAATTCTAACCATCACTTCTCTTCTTACGTCTCCCCACCTCAAATTCGATCTTCCAACTCTTATCTCTCTTTCATTATTGTTTTTCTAGACAGTACGTTTGCTCTTTATATATATATTATTCGCTCTTCTCTTTGGGCATATCTTTGTTCTCTGAATTATTTTGTAAGTTTCCCTCAAATAACATGAAGCAAAAAAAAGAACTCTTTAAGAAAATTGCAAACTTTGATGGCCTTTATGGGCCGATGCAGTATCCATTTCGACGATTGAGCGAAGAAGCATAACCCATATCTTTAACCAGAACAAAAACAAATTTGTTGTAAGCCGTTATATTAAGCAAAGCAGGAAACCAAAACAAACCGAAAACCAAAATCTAACAAAAATTGAACTTTTGAAAGTTTGGCAACATAAACGTAAGACGAAACTAATAAGGAGGACTATATATGTAAATATATATTTATGTTACCGCTGTACAAGTTTTGTTTCCCCTAATTTTGGTCCTTTCTTCTCTCTTTCGCCACTGAGCTTTGAAATTCCCCGCGCCTGTCTCCTCCGATTCTCAATCTCGCTTCATTCCATCGTTGTTGTCACTATTTCCGGTCACCGGAGCTTCCTCTGTTCACTTTAGTCCTTTTCCAAGACCAGGTTAGGGTTCTTCTATAGCCATTAGCTACACTGGTTGCTGCGGAAGTAACTAGTGATTTAAATTGGTTAATGGCTTTCAGCGTTTTCGAAGAAACTCGTTAATGGATGGAATAGAGAACTTCGTTTTATAGTATGATTTTGTTCTCACTAGCCAATTTTAATAGCTCAATATTAATTTGTACAGTTTCGCTTTCAAATCCTGGTGATTTTGATTCTCTGGTCTTTGTCTTTTACTTAGGTTTTTGTATGCGAAGAATCAATGTTGGACTTGATTTGTGGAGTTTCACTTTTGTTTTTGGGAACGAAATGACGATTTTTTTGTATATCGAAGGTTTATCAAGTCCCCATGGATGCTTTAGGGTTTTAGCTTTTTTTTGTTTCGTATGTTTTTGTACCAAGAGCTAAATGGATTCAATCAGTGATCTGTTGCTTGATTCTTACCTGAGAACTTTCTGAGATTTGTTTTCCAGTTGTTATAACATTTTGCAACATTATGTAAGTTTTTTCGTTTTGGTCTTTTTTCAGGTTTACTGAGCTGTAAGCACTCGCCATCATGTCTAGGTGAGCTTTTGGCTTTGATTTTACCACGCTTTCATGGATATTTAGAAATGTTTTTAACTATGTTATATGCAAAAGATGAGAAAAGATGCCAGGACCCTAGAAATGAATGATTGGTTCTATGTCTGTGAGCTACATTTGTTGTGAGGTTGATTCATTTGTCATTCTGTTCATAACTTCAAAGATCCTGTAACTTTATAATTTGTAAATGTATAAATTCAATGCTGGATGTTGCAATCTCTACAATTTTGACTTCTGTTTTTTCGAAAAACTTATGAGTTGTGTCCATGTATGCTTGTAAAACTTGACAGGGAGGATTATAGTGACACACTTCGAGTACTTGTAGCGACTGATTGCCACTTGGGCTATATGGAGAAGGATGAAATAAGGCGGCATGATTCGTTTAAGGCTTTTGAAGAGATATGTTCTATAGCGGAGGAGAAACAGGTTTGATTTAAGAGTTATCACTTGCCAGTATTATCAAGCGTTTGGATCATCTAGATAACTAGTAAGATGATGTTATGCGTAACAAAAAATATTCAACCAATAGCATGGAAGGATAATGTTTTGCATAACCAAAAATATTCAACCAATTGCATGGAAGGACTCTCAGAAAGTTTAATTTCTTCAATTTTCACTCTTTTGAAACAGGTGGACTTCTTACTACTTGGCGGTGATCTTTTTCATGAGAATAAACCTTCTAGAACGACACTAGTTAAAGCCATTGAAATTCTTCGTCGCCATTGTCTCAATGATAAACCAGTGCAGTTTCAAGTAGTCAGCGACCAGACTGTAAATTTTCAGAATGCGTAAGACTCTATTCTTCTGCTATTAATCTAATCATATCAGGAAATATTACCAACTGAACTAGTTAATTGGCAATTGAATCAAATTTGAGTATAGATATACATACTTTGTTGTACACCTCGTTTTTTCAAGATTTTGATTAATCTCTATTCTTTAAAATTATTATCTGGCTACAGGTTTGGTCATGTAAATTATGAGGATCCACACTTCAATGTAGGCTTGCCTGTGTTCAGTATACATGGAAACCATGATGATCCAGCCGGAGTGGTACATAACTTTCTGCATGCTCTTTTTATGCAAACTCATTTGCATAGACATATGGAACTAGTGAATACACATTTAATTGGGTTTTTTGTTCTATGTCGCTTCTGGCAACAGGACAACCTTTCTGCAATTGATATTCTTTCCGCATGCAACCTTGTGAACTATTTTGGAAAGATGGTTCTTGGTGGTTCAGGTGTTGGCCAGATTTCCCTCTACCCTATACTTATGAGGAAGGTTGGTCTAAAGAATTTTTAACCTAGACACCTGACTCCTCCCTGACTTCTTGACTATCATTTTATCAAATTAATGTGCAGGGTTCAACAACCGTGGCTCTCTACGGTTTAGGAAACATCAGGGATGAACGTCTCAATAGAATGTTTCAGGTAATCCAGAGGATGCTCACCTTTTGCTATACAATTATTATTGTTTTTATATTCATTTGTTTCACAGACCCCACATGCTGTCCAATGGATGAGGCCTGAAGTTCAAGAAGGATGTGATGTATCTGACTGGTTCAACATTTTGGTGCTTCATCAAAATAGGTTGATTGAATTAATTACAATTATATATTTTGAAGAACGTTTTCTTACCCTTTCTATATCTGAAAGTTTGATTTTGTACCCATATGCTATGACTTGCAGGGTGAAATCAAACCCCAAAAATGCAATAAGTGAGCACTTTCTTCCACGGTTCCTCGACTTCATTGTGTGGGGCCATGAGCATGAATGCCTTATCGATCCCCAGGTCCATTAAAATTTTGATTTTTGGAGTTATTTAAATAAGAGTGAAGCACAATGTTCCTTGTCTCTTTGAGCTGAAAACGATTAAATTTTTGAAGGAGGTATCTGGAATGGGCTTCCACATCACACAACCAGGATCATCTGTGGCAACATCACTTATTGATGGGGAATCAAAGCCAAAGCATGTTCTTCTTTTAGAAATCAAGGTTCTTCAGAAAACAGTTGACATTCATCTTCACTTTATTCGTACTGCTTAATCTATATACTTCATGTATGGTTTTTTGCTTCTTTTTAATCAAGCATGTAAGCCTGAGTGAAAATACATGACTTACAGGGAAATCAATATCGTCCTACGAAGATACCTCTGACATCTGTGAGGCCTTTTGAGTATACAGAGGTAAAGTTCATTTTGCTTATATATTATGGTGGTGGCAGACTTCTTTGCTCACATAATTTCGGAGTGCAGATTGTTTTAAAGGATGAAGGTGATATTGATCCCAATGATCAAAACTCAATTCTTGAACACTTAGATAAAGTGGTAACTATTCCCTCTTCTCATACTTCATGTGGACATTTTTCTCTCCTGCCTCCTTTTCGATTAGGTTTTAGCAAGTCATTAAATTCCTCTACCATATCTACAAAATTGTTAGGTCAGAAATCTAATAGAGAAAGCCAGCAAAAAAGCTGTTAACAGATCAGATATCAAACTCCCATTGGTTCGAATCAAGGTAATTTGTTTCCAAGTTTTCTTCACTCTGCTGCAACTTCTAGCAACACTCATATTATTAAACCTTTATTTTCCTACACAACTATAGGCTAGGCTCTCCCAGTTTGATACATGCACACCATAGCAACAAACACATATTTGTTATTAAGAATATTAAATGGCTAAAGAAAGACTAAGATCTGGTTGAATCTTTCAGGTAGATTACTCTGGATTTATGACGATAAATCCTCAAAGGTTTGGGCAGAAATATGTGGGAAAGGTACTTAAAAATTAGTTACTGTACCATGATGCTCCATACGTTCTAGAATGTAGGGCAAACTTATAACAAAGTCTCACATACTTTCAGGTTGCAAATCCCCAGGACATTTTAATATTTTCCAAGGCTTCTAAGAAGGGTCGGAGCGAAGGTATGGGCATTAGTGTAGTAGCAATGTATTCAATTTTGTCGGGATTAAATTGTTGTATTTGCTTTTACTCTAGCTTGGAATTGCTTATTGATGGGTATAGGAGGAACTAGCAAGCTACAGAATCTGCATTATAATAATGAAGAACAATATGGGCCTATGATAACCTCCTTTGTTGTGTGGAGCTTGATATTGATGTATTGAGTCTAATTTTCATTTGTTCCACTTTACTTGTTATAGTCATGTTCCTCAGTGTGTAACCTGTAGCATCAGAATTCTGCCAACCCTACGGTTTATCTCTAGTTAGCATCTTAGATACTTTAAGTACAAACTTCCCCTTGTACATATTGGAAGCGGCAATTTTATAATTTGCCGTCTAGTGAATTGTATATGGAAATGATGTGTGTCTTGATAGTAGCACAGTTGGACCATTTTATTGCGTTCTTGTCTAGGTATGATATATTTCGATCTTCCATTTCACAGCCAACATCGATGATTCTGAGAGGCTTCGTCCAGAAGAACTGAACCAGCAAAATATAGAAGCTTTGGTTGCTGAAAACAACCTGGTACATCCTGCATCCCTCTTTCCTTACGATTTGTGTTACTATCGTCTACCCCTGTAGAACTTTTCCACAGAAGGGTATAGACTTGGATGGTTTCCAAATGGGCATGAGTACACTAGGGATGATCATTCTATTCTCTTTCGCAGAAAATGGAGATCCTTCCAGTTAACGATCTGGATGTTGCTCTTCACAATTTTGTGAATAAGGATGATAAACTAGCATTCTACTCATGTGTTCAGTACAATCTTCAAGAGACTCGTGTATGTAATTTTCTTTTTAATTCTAATTTTTGTATAGGGAGTTGTTTATATTAGCACATCCTTGTTATCGTTTATAATTAATCTCTTCACATTTTGTACAGGGTAAACTTGCAAAGGATTCAGATGCTCAGAAAATTGAGGAAGATGACTTGATTCTTAAAGTGGGAGAGTGCTTAGAGGCAAGAAGATCTAATGTTTGGTTACTTGCTTGCCACAAATCATGGGAACCGGTAGAATATCGATCTGACTTGCATTACTTGTTTGTGCAGGAACGCTTGAAAGATAGGTCCACTCGACCCACTGGCTCTTCACAGTTTTTATCCACTGGATTGACATCAGAGGTTATATTCTCACTCTTAGGATTTCCTTGCAGATATTGATTTTATACTCACCTCTATCCTGCTCTTACTTACTCGCAATGCTATTTCGACCTGATATTGGTACAGAATTTGACGAAAAGAAGCAGTGGCATCGCGAATGCTTCGTTTAGTGATGATGAGGACACGACTCAGATGTCTGGTTTAGCGCCTGCCACAAGAGGAAGGAGAGGTTCATCCACTGCTAATACATCTCGTGGTAGAGCTAAAGCCCCAACCAGAGGAAGAGGCCGTGGTAAGGCCTCAAGTGCGATGAAGCAGACCACTCTTGATGGTTCTCTTGGTTTTCGCCAGTCTCAAAGGTAAATTTTTAATTACGTTTAACAAGTTTAGGGTAGGATTCAAAGACGTGGAATGCTTTGATTGGCATCACTGGCTAGCTAATGTTCCGTCCCTGATTTGTGTCTCATAGATCTGCTTCAGCTGCTGCGTCAGCTTCCTTCAAAAGTGCTTCCGCCAATGAAGAAGATGATGTAGATTCTCCTTCAAGTGAAGAAGCAGAGCCAGAACATTTTAACAAACTTGACAGCACTTCGGTATGGACACTTCTTACACCGTTAATCTATTCACTACAATTAGGAAAGCCCATGCGATTTATTTAAACGCAGATATCTCTTGGCATTGTTATCTCTCCATTTGAAGTAAATATTGCGTTAAACTTATCATGATTCTTGTTTGATATCCATTAAGGAGGACGATGAGAACACTAAAGGCAAAGGACGTAAAAGACCAGCTACTACTAAGAGAGGCAGAGGTAGAGGTTCTGGGACTTCAAAACGTGGTAGGAAAAACGAAAGCTCTTCTTCACTTCATAGGCTACTCAGCAAAGACGATGACGAGGACGAAGATGATGAAGACATAGAAAAGAAGCTTAACAGATCTCAGCCTCGGGTTTGTTAATCACATCTATTTTCCATTGTTTCGATGCTTTCTGCTTGTTAGCCGGTTTAAGCAAGCTCTTATTTACCATTTGAGATCAAAGCTCACTTCATAGTACAATTTGTAAATGCAGGTTACAAGGAACTACGGAGCTCTAAGAAGATAAATCCATATCAACCCTGAGGTCTGACATCACAACGAAGCCTCATCTAATCTGTTTTTTCTAACGACCTCCCAAGCGACATAACTTCTGAAGAAGAGAAACTAGCACAAAAAGGAGTGTAGCGGTACAGAGAGTTTTGTTTCTATGCTCTGTTAAGGTTTTCCTGTTTATGAATGAGGCAATATAATTAATGAACTTCTCTTGTGGAGTTTTTGAGTGATAACTTAAGTTACTAGGCCATTTATATAAATCCCTAATTTACCTTTCAATTTCAATTATAAATGTGTTTGAGATGTTATAAAACTGATTGCTTGTTGTAGTAATTTTTTTACTTTTTGGTCTCAAAATATTTAAAATGAATCACAACATAAAGCCTTCCAATATTCAATCATGGAGAACGTAAAGTAGACTTTCAGATTTGACTGATTCATTATTATGATCTTTCAATCTCAACGTAACAAACGAACAAAATAAATATTTTAAAACTTGCTACGGCATCACCGCCGATGATGGAACAATAAGAAGGGGTTTGTCACATTTCCACACACACAATCGTCAGCGAGCCTACTCAAGGCTTGGAGGAGGATTCATAATTGTGGATGCATAACTCATACTCATTCCCAAACTTCTACTTTATATTTTGAGGTGGAATATGGAAAGGGGCCGTGAACTTACCAATATTACTAATGATGGGGTTGAAACCACTCAAATCTACCATTGCGACTCCATCCACATCCCAGATGAAGACAGTGTTAGAGTGCATGCCAGGAAAGGAAGAAGCAGGGACACAGAAAGGTTCAGACTTTGACAGGAAAATGCAGAGATCTCCAATGTCTTTAGTGTAAGATGCGTTCCCTTCTTCATCAAGCTTGAACACCAATACATCTTTTGTTTTCATTTTGGCAATACCGTCGACAATCTCAGCAGCCTTCTGGTACCACTTGACCAAGAAAGTTTCACCCGTGGATTCTGACTCCACCAAGTGCTCGCTTGCGACGCACGAAACAAGAAGCTCAAGTTTGGCCTTTGTCAGCTCGGAAAGGTTTTGATAACGCAGCTTCTGAAGCATGGGTTTGCGCTTGTGCTTACGGAGATCCCATGATGCGATTAGATGGCCTCCAGATCCGGGTATGCAAAACATGTCGTCTTTCTTGGAAAACATGACACGTGAGGAGAAAAAACAGGGGTTTTCGATCTTGATGTTGTGCCACTTGGAGTAACTTTGAGAGGGCTTGCAAAAGCTGAGTTGAGGTCCAAAGAACTTGACAGCCACGATACAGTCTTTATCCTCCGGAGAAGATCTTGACATTGACACGTTGGTGATAATCTCGGTTTGGCAATGAGGCAGAGTAACAAGAGCAGGCAGGGGAATACGTTTGGGATCTGTATCCGATGCAACAGGGTTTAGATCGTCTTGGAGACGCAGAACTTCGTCTTCCCTATTGAATGTAGCTATCCAGCCATGAGATGCTCCGATTGTTACCATCTCGTCGTTATAACCATCTTTCACCAACTCCAGAGGCACCTTCTTTTCCAAAGTAGTGCTTATAAGTTCATTAGCGTAGCTAACAACGAGTCTTCCGAGATCCCCTCCACAATGAGAACCGGCGACGATGGAACAAGGTGGGGTTTGAAGCAAGGAAATTGAGAAGCTATTAGACAGAATAAGAAGAGAGGATCTTATCAACGTAGGTTTCCCAAGGCGGAGCCTCGAGAGCTTAGTGAGAAGCAGAGACATGAATTAGGAATATGTTTTGGAAATTATCTCTCCAGCATAAGGAACCCTAACGAATGGCCTTGCTCACCAAGTTTTGGTCTCACACAAAAAATCTTTATATATTTAACGAATTTATTTGCGTAGTGGAATAAGGAAACAAATCTTGCTTAGAAAATTTGACAGCAAAGCGAAATTGGTATGTGAAATGAATGTTAGATATGTTGTAAAATCCAAAAAGAAGAGAATGACTACACGTATCAATTAAGCGTTGATCGGTTTATATAAACCGACTACGTAAAATGTGAATCCAATAATCTTTAAACTTTTAATGTTTGAAGAATATTTGTTACAAATGTCTAAACTAATAACACCAAAATTTTCATATAGTTTTGAAAATCATAATTGAATAACATAAGCATGAATCTCTACCAATCATACTTGGACAGTTGGAAGCATGAGTTATTTTTCAGAAAAAAAAACCTTAAATAAATGACTTAAAGTAATATGGATAAAAAAAAAGAGAGATGGAGTTAGAGATACTTCAAAATCCAAAGCTGTTCCCTGATTGGCTAATCCCAACATCTCACTCTCTATCTATATCCAATTTCTGATTCTCCCACCTCTATTCTCATCCACAAAACACTAACATAAAAGTCAAAGTCCTTGAGACCAATACTTTCACCAAACAGCAAAAGAAGAAGAAGAACTACAACACTAACCAAAACAGAAAAGCTCAAGCCGAGAGAGACAATGGCATCAACATTCACGAGCTCAAGCAGTGTTCTGTCCCCAACAACCTTCCTTGGCCAGACTAAAGGCTCAAGCTTTAACCCTCTTCGTGATGTTGTCTCTCTCGGATCTCCCAAGTACACTATGGTATGTTATCTTTTGATCTTAGTCTTCTTATCATATTAAAAGGTTTCATCTTTCTTCTTGGGTTTGTGTCTGACTTTCGTGTGTACATGTTTATGTGAAGGGAAATGATCTTTGGTACGGACCAGACAGAGTTAAGTACTTAGGCCCCTTTTCCGTCCAAACTCCGTCTTACCTCACCGGAGAATTCCCCGGCGATTATGGTTGGGACACTGCTGGTTTATCTGCAGACCCTGAGGCCTTTGCCAAAAACAGAGCTCTTGAGGTTAGTCTCTAAGTCTCACTCAACACAAAGACACATTGATGAAAGAGTTAAATCACTAATCATCATTTTGCAGGTGATTCATGGAAGATGGGCAATGTTGGGAGCTTTTGGTTGCATAACCCCTGAAGTTCTTCAGAAATGGGTCCGTGTGGAGTTCAAAGAACCAGTCTGGTTCAAGGCCGGTTCACAAATCTTCTCAGAAGGCGGTTTGGACTACTTGGGCAACCCAAACCTAGTCCATGCTCAGAGCATCTTAGCCGTCCTCGGCTTCCAAGTCCTCCTTATGGGTTTGGTTGAAGGTTTCCGCATCAACGGTCTTGATGGTGTTGGTGAAGGCAACGACTTGTACCCAGGTGGCCAATACTTTGACCCGTTGGGTCTTGCTGATGATCCAGTTACTTTTGCTGAGCTCAAGGTCAAAGAGATCAAGAATGGAAGATTAGCTATGTTCTCAATGTTTGGCTTCTTTGTTCAAGCCATTGTTACAGGAAAAGGTCCTTTGGAGAATCTCCTTGACCATCTTGACAACCCTGTCGCTAACAATGCTTGGGCTTTCGCTACTAAGTTTGCACCTGGAGCTTAAATTTCAAGTCTTAATGTGATGCTTGTAATGATATGAACATAACCTTTCTTGTTCCTCTCAAATTACAAATCTCTATCTGCTATGCACAATAGTAGTCGAAAAATACATGTCACTCAGCTAAATCTACATTGCTCTCAATCTAACATTTTGGGATCGTGATACTAATACAAAGCTAAGTGGAAGAATCCACACACTAATAAACCACCTAGCCTCTTTTTCCCCACCATTTCCGGTGACGACCTTTATCACCGTCTACTCTATGGAGTCTTGCTTTGGTATCTCTTAATCTAGCTTTGTAATCTTTCTTCCATGTCTCAAATCTTTGCTTCAGTCTCCTGAATTCATCTTCTGGATGTTGCTGTTGCTGCCCGTTTGGAGTTGCCTGCGGTCCTCCAAGCTTCACCTCCACAATAGCCCTTGCATCTTCATCGAAATTGAGTCTCCTTTGATCAAACTCTCTTGCGAGATGATTAACAGCGTTCAAACTTCCGTTAAGTTCTCTGATTCTGAGCTCAGGAGTGTTTCCGTTAGTGAACTTAGTAGTGGGAGTTCTTACTCCCGGAGTTCCAGTAGACATTGTGTCCTCTGAGTCATAACCGAAAGGAGATATTGATGTGTCTTGTCGTCCTCCTGCTTGTCCCGTGATGCTCTCTGTAGCTAGACTCTTTCTAGCTGCGGCAAGACTCATCTACAAAAGGCATGATGCAAAACTAGAACATTCAGAAAGATTCGGAGTGTGAGTGTGAATGGAATTTCATAACCAGTTAAATATTAGACCTGCAATGACGACATTTGCTTTTGCCATGTGTCTTCCATTGACTTCATCTTTACTTCATACTCTGACCATCTCTCCTCAAATTGCCTCAACTGGTCTCTCAATGCTGTGTTTTCTTCTTCCTTCTGCGCTAAAGCTGCTTCAGATTTCAATACTCGCTTTTGGAGATCAGACACAGTTGTTGGTTGGACTTGGAACTGTTCCAGAGGAATATCCTAAACAGCAAACGAGAAAAAGTTATAGCGTAGCAATATATAAATAATTCAGAAATGGACAATCTTCCTGTTGAATGTTGATAGCAAGTACCTTGTCTTCTGAAATCCTCCTGCCCGCTTTCTTCTTTGATTTTGTCGTCACGTTGAGTAATTCTTTCTGTCTTTGCATACTATTGAAACGGTTGCGAGCCAACCATCCACGAACCGCTGCAACAGAGAAAAATGAGGATGAGCCTTAAAAACACAATCCAAATCTGAAAACCAATTCTTTAGTTTACCAAAGAAGATAGTGCGGCTTACCAGATTGCAAGTGTATGACTGCAGTCACCTCATCTGTGCTTGCTTCAGAAACAGTATCCGCATGGATTTTTGCTTCAGTGTCAAACACTCTTCGGGAAATTTCACCTCGTACATATGACTGAAGTACCAATGCTACAGCCCTCATATTTTGGAAGTATTTACGAGACAAGTGACAACGAAAATGCTTTTGTAAGCCTACTATGCCTTGAAGAACTTTTTTTCTCCTATCTTCAAAGATACCAATCTAAAAACATTTGAAGATGACATAAGAATTGTGTTGACAAGATCAGTAAATAGCCTCTTTAATCTGTGTGAAGAGTCACTTACTTGCCCAGTTCGGAGGTACAGTTTTGTATAACCCACTTGATACATTTCAGGATGAACGTCATATTGTTTAAGAACAGCGATTGATACGCTCAGAGGATCCTCAGAGACATTTTTGTCTGACAATAAGAATCCATATCTTCCTGCAAACTCTTGATGTGTCAAACGAGTAGGATATCCAGATCTTGATATTCTAACAACTTCCAACACGCCACAACATCTAAGCTGTTGTAAGACAAGATCCTCTTCATAAACTCTGGGAAGCTGCTTCGAATTCGGCTTTATGCATCGAATGAAGTGTGGACTTGTGTTCTCTAACTTGTTCATCAACTTGAAAAGTTGACACTGTACGAGATATTTAAACATGAGATATGGACAGTGCGTCGAGGAAGATCACAATTGAAACAAATCTGCAGGATTTATGCTTCTTTACCTTGAACTTTGTTCCAACAGTTTGGTTCGTGGATTCTGATAACATGAGTGGCTTCTGAGATTTGCCACGCATTTTGGTAGAAAACAGTTTCAGCAACTGGCAGTCGCATGATGATAGAAGATTGATAAGATCAGCAGGCAAAGGATCCCTGTTCTTCTCCAAAAACCCATTTGTATCATAGAGAACCTGTAAACAAAATCATCATTCAAAAAAAAAACCATAAATACAAGAAAAGCTACACACACACAGAGATCCATATAAACCTATTCAGCACACAAAGTCTGGTTTTTGGATTAAGGGCAACAACTGACCTCTCCGGCATAATGATTAACTCTGAAGGCTCGACCTCTCTCTCCTTTGAAGCAAGAGTTAGTCTTCAAGTGTTGCTTGAGCTTGTTGGCAAAGGTCAAATCAGTTGCTTTTGGAAAATTTGATTCTTCGTCTAGTAGAGACAACAAACCAATGGGTTTCTGCAGAAGCAAACATATTCAAGAGATTACTTATAAGAACATGACAAAAGTAATCTTTTAAATTAGATATAAGCACATTAATTACCTTCTCAATTAGATCTAAGCACTCTTGATTGTCAACAAATTCAACCTTAGTCCAGTCAATTCCATCTTCTTCATATTCCTGAAAAAAGAAAATACTACTTATGGAGCAGTAATGGAGAAAGTAACGCATTCTTATACTATTTAGACGAAAAGAAAATTCACCTCTTGTTCCAGTTTAAATAGATGCCGGTTAAAGTGTTGTTGCAATCTCTCATTTGCATAGTTTATACAGAATTGTTCGAAGCTATTATTCTGAAACAAAAGAGAAACAGATCATCATTACAAGATTCAAAAAGAATACAGATTAACAAAATCTATGGGTACTACTAACCTTAAATGATTCAAACCCATATATATCCAGGATGCTTATAGATCTTCCCGTACGTGATTTACCGACTTCTAGTGCAATGTTTATTTGCTCAACAAGCCAGTCGAAAAGGTTCGCATAGATAAATTTTGCTATTGCATCCCTCATGTCAGTTGCCTGAAGGTCAAAACGGTACAGCAACTCAAACATCACCTAATGAGCGATGTGTATGAAGACAAGTAGCAAGAATGATGAAACATTACCTGCCGCAAGGTCAGTTTTTTGGCAATGCAATCCGTACCAGCTTGAAGCTTACGAGTAGACAAAACCACCATCAGATCTTCTGACTTGCAGCCGATTAACATAGCAGCATTGGTAACAGCTGTAAGAAATAACAGCCCAATGATAAGCTCTTCTGACTTGCAGCTCATTAACATAGCAGCAATGTTATCACTTAGTAACATTTTTAATGAATTAAGACAGTAGATTGTACCTTCATCCGCTACCACCTCCACATGGTTTTCATTGTCAGTAACTCTGAACGATACATTCCCTAGCCACAACACTGCTGCAAGCAATGCAAATGCACGCTCTTGGTGATCTTTAGGGATTTGAACAATGTCAAATGCTTCCTGCAGAAATACAGAAACGATTGTGAGGAAAAAAAAAACTGACAATGGGGACGGCAAGCACTGTAGATTAAAAAATAAATTACCAGTAGTTTGTGAAATTTCTGAGCATCATCAACACCGTCAATGGTTAAGCAATCACTCTGGCTCAGGTAGGTATACTCACTTGCGGTTTTAAGCTTCAGTCTCTCTACACATAAAACCATAGAAATAGTAGTTTAGCCAAAATAGATACTACTCAGTAGTTTACATCTGTCAAATAATTAAGATGGCGGTATTGAATCTTGGAAACTTCAGTAAGAAATGTTACCTTTTAGAATCGGCGAAGCACCTGCACACAACTCATAAAATATATGGTAGGATCTTTCACCATTGAACAGCTGAACCACTCTTGACTGGTCAAAGGAGACTACCAATTAGTTACCAAATGGCTAAGTAGTGAAAGTCTGATGCAAAAACTTCTCAGTGGAAACAAAATTACCTTCTCTAGCAGAACTATGGACATTCAGCAAGAGTAGTTTTGCAAAACATGGGAAGAAGACAATAGAAACGAGTAAGCTCCAAATCTAAAAAATATGACAAACAATCACACAAATGCTCAGATCATACTCACAAGTTTCAAGTTTGGCTCCACATATCTTTCCCATTGCACTAAAATGAATTTCTGTGAGTTTACCCTGCGCCAGTTAATACAGTGTTAAATGAAAATGGAATAACTTCTAAATCTACAAAAATGGTGGTCAAGCCAATCAATTACCACAATTATAATAACTTAACAAAACAGGGAAGGGAATAAGTCAGGTAAAAAAAACTTGTACAAACAACTTACAAATCGGCTAGAGTTAGCATTTCTTGATGTTTTGGCATTCCCAAAAGCTTCGAGTATGCAGGTTGTCTTTATGATTTCATACTCTACTCCACAGCTACCTCCACCAAGTGCTGCCAAGTACTGCATTGCAAATTTTGCAGTCTCAGTTTTCCCAGCTCCACTTTCTCCACTACAGAACGATAATAATCAAATTTGTAGGTGATGTTAATACCAGTGATCACAGCAATGATCAATCTGTAGAAAAGCATTCAGAAATCTACCAAATTAAGAATGCAAAGAATTTTACCTTATAATAATAGACTGATTCTTCTCTTCTGCATGTAGAAAATTTCAAAATGTAAGTACCAGATACTCATTTGAAGACCGAATCATGGAAATACGAAAAAAGCGTTAATACAAATTTGTCCCCTCACCTCTCATCATTTCATCATAAGCTGCATCGGCCACAGCATATACATGAGGAGCATCCACAGCCTTCTTCTGATAAGCTGAGATAAAATCATTTCCATAAATCTCGACATTCTTGAACGGGTTGACTGCAATCAGTACTGGCCCTGCTTTACTCTATATACAAAAATGAAGAAGAATGAAAGGTAGTTAAGACCTAGGCAAAAGAAAGGTGAGAAACTAATCAGAAGAGCCAACACAAGTTTCAGTAAACTCACATAGATCACATCTTGCGAATATCTCACACGAAGGTTATAAAGAACTGATGGTTCATTTAAATAACTAAGCTGTATTAGGTCTTCAACACTTTCCAAAATATCTGGGTTTGCAGGAAAAAGCTCTTCAGTAGACACTTTCACAACCTTTAATAACACAAATTCAAATAACCTGACAGTCAAACCGCAGAAACTCTTCAATGTCACAGATGGAGAGTGTAACGTTCTTAAGAAAACTTACATTTGCAGTGGACAACATAACAAGTGACGAATCAGCAGAAGTAGACTGTATCTTCCCCAGTTGCCACTGCCCATTAGCAACCCGACACCAAACTCGAAGTTTCTGCAAAACAGTACAAACACAGTAACCAAAAGTTCCCCCAATTATACACCCTTTGTGTAATCAAAGAAAATTAAAACCCGAGCTCTAGAATTCAACTCTTCATAAGTAGAAACCTAAACACAACTGTAACACCTCCGATCATGTTATCTACCAAGTACAAACGTATATATTCCATTTCCCATGTTCTAATTAATCTATTGAGCCTCATCATCTCCATATTCCTTAAACATATATAATTTTCACAAAATTCAAACTCTCACTGCTCAGTCACCACTAAAGAATCATTCCTGATCTCAACCTCTGAGATGATCACTCTCGAAGAAAATTCAATTTCACCAGAAAACAAAAAGGAAACAAACAGTTACCTTCTTAATGAAATACTCAATGTTATTGTTCCACTCAGGTTTATGCTCCTCCGTATTCTCCACCGGAGCAGTACTAATCTTCACACCTTCCTCTTCCTTCTCTTCTGCATAAGGAGACTCTGACTTAAGACCAGTCCTCATTTTCTTGCTTCCAAAACTATTCCTCTTAACCCCCAAATCCTTCTCTTTCCTCTTCCCCACTTCCTCTTTCCTTTCCGGTTCAGTTTCCACCGCAGGCGTCGCAGAAGCAACACTCCCGTTCTGATCTTCCATCACACTAGAAACATTAAACTTGGCCGGAAGTGAACGGCGAGCAGAGGGAAGACGAGCTCTTGAATTAGGCCGAGAAGGAAGCGCTGGTGGCATATCTTTAGGCCGATCACACTCATCTTTCTGACGAAGAGACTCAAGCATCTCCTCTAACGAGCTTTTCGCTAGTGTGTTCGGCGATGCCGACAACATCATTCCTTTCTTCTTATTTCAATCACAGACCACAAAAAAAAATTGAATCAAAGTTGAAAACTTTCCAAAAACCCAACACGAGAAAACCAAAAATCTCTTGTGCTGAGTCTTAATTGACAAGCATTTCACGCAATCCAAGCTTCCATAAACCCTAATTTCTCAAATCACACAGCCTCGTTAACCATGCATAACTTCCTCGAAACCAGAGCAGAGCTTCTTGGGACCAAAAACCTAGAAAAATATAACAAAAACCAGAAATTCAGCGAAGAATCTCTCAACATTTTTGTAAACACAACAAATTTAAAATCTCGAGGCTCCCTCTTCATTTCTCATGTATGTATGGATTTGGAAAACAAACAAAAAAAAAATTGAAAATTTAGAATAAAGAAAACTCTGACTTTTAGGGAAATCAACAAAACCTGATCTTTACACAAACCCAGAAACGAAGACGAGAAAAGAAATTGAAAAGACAAAAAAAAAACAAAGAGAGAGAGCGAAACTTACGAGGTCAATGGAAGAGACAAAGACAGAGAAGAGAGAGTCTCTCTCTCTCAGGTTAGTTTTTGTTAGAGGAAATACAGGGAGAGAAAGAACAACAACAACAACAACAAAAACAGATTTGTGTCCTGAGAAACAAATTTTAAAACCCTAAGATTTTCTTCTAAATTTGTTTCTGAGAAAAATGAGGATTTGTTTTCTCGAAAGGATGCAACTTTTTGGAAAAGAAAGAAGAAGATAAAAGAGTAATGAATAAAAATCCTCTGTTTCTTCTTCTCCTCCTTTCTCTTCGACCAACAACAACAAATTCAAATTTTTTGTCTTTTTTTTTTTTTTTTCTCTTTGTTCAGACAAAAAATGGGTCCGAATCTGAATTATATTAATGTCTCAAAATTTCAAAAAAAATGATTCTTAATTTATACTTGTATTTTTTGGTCTCAAAATTTAGTTATATTAATGTCTAAAAAAATTCAAAATAAAATACTTGTGAAAATAATGTTGCTATCATTTGCATCATTGACGTTTATTTGGATGTACCCCTGTGTTTTTGAGATAATTACAATTAAGGTACTGCATCTTTTTACAATATGGATATGGAGTATTTATGACATCCGGTAATTAAACTAAGTACTATTATAGCCATAGGTAATTGAACTAAGTACTATTAACTCACTTTTAAGTGATTTATTCAATTGATTGCTTCATAGTAGTATCATTTTTTTCATTTTTTTTTGTTTAGTTTAGCTCAATCAAAATACATACACATTAAAAAAAAAAAAGTTGATACATTTTATATGAGGTAAAATTTAGGTAGAAATTCAATAATAAAATTGTTGATACCTAGATGACAAAAAAAAAAAAAAAAAGATGACAAAAAAAAAATTGTAGAAATCTTATCATATCATCTAGTATTTACTAATCTCTATCTATGTCATCGAAAAACAAAAAAAAAAATTTGATAAAAAAACTAAACTAATAGTGAAATCAATTTTATAACTCTATTTATTTCATTGTCATCTATAGGTTGATAGTATAATCATTATTGACAAACCATCTACCTAAATTCCTAATAATGAACTAAAGGTGAGTTGTTAAGAAAACGATTAACTTATTTTAAAACCCTAAATCAAAGTTTATCGTGGTTCTTCTTGTGTCTGTTTAATCTAATTTATCTCGTAAACAATTATCTCCTGATTTTGCTCAAAATAATCATGAGCTTTATGTTCATATGTGTCTCCACTTACTTTGTTTTACAAATCTAAAAAATTCATTATATCTTTTTTAATTTTATTTTTGTCAACAAAACTCAAACAAACTAGCTCCAAGGTTATTTAAAAATTGGAAGAAAAGTTAGAAAACAAATGTACTACTTAATTTAGTGAACATGAATAGACGTTGTTGGCTTAATATTTTTTTTTCTTTTTAATAGATGGGTCAGCAAGCAAATGGACAAAAGTCAAGAGTATTTGTGTAGAACGTGACACGTTGGAGGAGGGAAGAATGGTCGTTAAGGAGTTGTTTGGTTGATCAAAGATAACGAACGAAACGACAATAAACACCTCAATTCAAGGCACTCACGTTAAGCAAACTCTTCTCGAGTGATCAATGTTGAAGTCTCTACACCCTTTCGTCGATACCTCTCCACATACTGACCCCTTTCTTGGTCCTAGGCTTTGGACTATGATATTCGTTATCCGTCTTTTCGATTAGCAATCCATTGTCTCAAAAAAGAGTTCTTATAACTTTTACATTGGACTAAAATCATCGTAGTTTTACTATCAATCAGTAGGAATCGAATAAACGAATATCATTTATTTCGATCTCATTTTTCCGAATCAAATATAGATATTAAAACTTATTATCCGTAAAAGATCAAGTCGGATAAATAGATAAAATCCAATGGTACCTACCTACCTCATGGCTTACCTTACTTGTTAACATAAATTGTTAGTGGCTGGTCTTTTTCTTGCAAATATCATGCTATATAACTTTTAATGACAATAAATCATATACTAGTGGCTGGTCTAGCTATCTACACATTTATAATAACTATGGTAGACATATATAATGAGTTATTGACTATGGTAGACAACTCAAATTTTTTTATGATAAATCTAATACATTGAATGCCAAAACCTTCATAATTTATTGTTAATTAGTCTATCATCTTTCTAATTCATTAGTTAAATATCACTATACTAATCTTGCGTCAAAATATTTTACTAACGACCTAATAAATCCGTCAAAATCTTAATTTCGATTGTACGAATGTAATACAATTATATCAACCATAAGACGGCTTAACATGAATTTTTAACATTGTGTTTTATTATTGATAAGTAATGTGGATATAAAATGAATAAAGTAAACGTGGTTTCCGCTAATCTAGCAAATAAAAGAGCACTTAATTAGCCAAAAAAGCTTAAGAGCGAGTCAACAACAATTAATACAATCCGGCTGAACAAATATGGTGTCGCAGTCTTTTCCGCTTTGGAGCTTAATTAACCATTACTTAATTAAACATTAAATAACATACTACTACTCCATTATTTAATGTTTTCAGACAATTATTGTTTTCATTAAACTGGTCACCCTTTGAAATTTGATCATGCCACGAATTGTTTGTTAATCAATGTGCTTCACATTTAAAACCAAAGTAGAGTCTAATTAATTTTTGTGACGATAGAATCTTAAAATTTGTATAGCTTTACCTACCACTAAGATTATTTGGTTTTTAAAGTTTGCTTGTAAATGATTGGTTAGCCAAAACGTTTAACTTTTAATGTATCATAAACTTTTTTCCCCACTTGGTTTAAGTCTTTATGATCTTATCACTCTAATCAAACACATTGTTATGTGTGGACTACATGAGTTGAGTGTTAATACACCATCCAAGTGAAAACTAACAATGATTAGTTCACGCCAGTAGTGTACAAACAATAGCTTAATTAATACTATAAAATTATCTCGGTGCGTGTAATAAATATATATATACACACACCCGTAAGTATTGCAATAAGATCAACTTATCTCTTATAAAACCCAATGCTACACACACACACACACTACTCTTGTGTTTTACAATACTGATATAATATGATGAACCTGTTGAAAATAATTATTTTTATTTACTATGTCATTTTTTTGACATTACTATGTCATATTTATTTAAGAGATCAAATGTATATAGACGTGTTTAAAAAGTGAAATTATTGAAAATACTAGACTACTTGGATGGTCTTTTTTTTGTTTTTTTTTATGGTTCTGAGTAAAAGTAGATTACTTTAGATGTTTGCGGTCCAAAATATAAAAGAGACAATGATGAGATGTGTTCTCTTACGGTACGTGATTAATAATTTACATAATACTCGTGATTTTCAATGTGGCATGTGCTACTTGTAAATATATTTCGTAGTCGAAAACACATTAAATCCTCAGTCGATCTGGTGTATGCATTTTATAGCTATCGATTTATTCAAAAACAATTTACTCCAAACATTTCTAAACCACAACATTTTTTCTTACCAACTCTCGCGATGGCAACAAGTCGATACGCATCTTTTTATAATTGCATTGCGATATGAAGAAAAGTCAAACTTTAAAACCTTTAACTAAATCTATATAATCCTAATTAATTTAGGGATTAGTTAGAGTTAAGGGACATAGATAATAAGCCAATAATACAAAAAGATTAGCGAAAAATAAAAACTGTTTTATCTTGTAACATTGTAAGATTTGTTAACTTCTAAAACTATAGACAATATTATACCTTTTTGCTCATTTTTCCTTAAACATGTAGACATGCGATGCGATGAGTTAAATGCATAGCATCATTGAGCATGATGGAGAGAAGGTGTGAGAGCAATACCTTAATTTATTAATTCTTCTTCTGACATGTCCACAAGGGAATGTCCTCATTTACACTCATGTCTCTTCATGTCTATCCCAATCTTTTTGTCATAAAGTTTCTGACATTCTTCTTCTTTTTTTTTTTCATTTCTCTCTATTTAGAAACCTGATTCTTTCTTCTTGTCGTCGTGCTTTGTGTTCGAAGTATGAGGGAGACATAACTCCAGCTCTTATTATTAAGCACTTTTCTGATCTTAAACAAAGTCTTGATTGTTTGTTTGTATTTGTAATTTTCTAATTACGTCCATTGAGAAACATGGTTTGTTCAAATCAATAATTTCAATCCTATGAGATCATATTAGAGAGTGAATTTAAAAAACAATTCAACTATACGTACTATATATAGACTGATCGATTGCATTCTTTATTGTGATTAGAGTTTAAGGAACCTTTATTAGCGTAAAATTAAAGGAATTGTGAATTGGCGTATGAGGAAATGACAAAAACAAAACAAAAAGCATATTTCAACGTATTTGTCGAGAGAGTGTATATACGAATAAATTAATTATCGCAAATATAGATTATATAAAAATTTATCTGAATCGTGTTTAGTATCGAATGATATATATTCTATTTGTTATAACATCACTTTTTTTAACTGCCTTATTAAAGTTAGCCAAACGCAAAACCCCAAATTGCTCACTATTTTTATGTTTCCTTGCTATTGTTCACCTTACCGCTCCCATGCATATTTCACAATACAAAATTTACATGATAATTGAATAATTGCCTGCATTAGTGCATGTAGCTAAATAGTATTAGGTTAGGTCACACTAGTTTGAAATATAGATATGGAGCAAACTCACATCGGTAGTCGGAAAATATATTAAATAATATATAAAGGGTTATATTCAATTTATTCATTGTCAACTGATTTTGGATAAGAAGCCCATAACATGGTATCATAATTTAACATGATATTAGATTGTGGACTTCTAATTTAAAACCAGTTGATAATGAGTGGATTGACTCTAACTTTTTGTATATTACTTAAGTTTTATCACATCTTTCAATGTGTGGTCTTTCTCCACACGTCCTCTCGAGATAATAGTTCTTTTAGCCGTTAACCTCGACAGCATCCATTACGCCTTCTCGAGATAATGCTTTGGTACTCTGGAATAGCGCGCTAAACAATCCGTATTCAAATTATGAGAGCATGAAAGTTTAGAAAGAGAAAACTTAAAAAATACATAAATCCGTTGAAAATCGTCAAATAAGTAAGAAAAACATAACTGATGGAATTGGGCCTTCTTTTGGGTCATCAGTTAATGGAGTGATCGGACCTTTATTTGGGCCGGATTAATTAACGGACTAGCTTGTGTTCGGGCTTTTATACCATGTTAAATTAGGGTTTGTTATGAGATTCCAACTCAAAACCAATTGGCAATGAGTAAATTAACCATAACCATTTTTATATTACTTAATATATTCTCCAACTACCGATGTAGGATTTTACACCATATAAGTATGTATGATAAATATGAATTAAGGTCTTAAAAATTTGATCTACTATGCTAAAACACTAAACAGTAACATTTCTAATCAAGCAGGATCAATTATTTCAAAGAATGAAACTATTCCAATATAAAAAATCATATTCTAAAAATAGAAAACTCTGGATTAAGGTATACGCATCATGATCATCTATATATGCTCATTAAAAATTTGGTGTATCTATAATTACGATCACATGCTACATGTGAGTTCAAGATTATAACGTTGTTTACTAATTATAGCTAGTAGCTAGCTTGATAAATAAAATAAATACTCGTTAGAGATCAAATGAAAGAATCACAATTATTGAAAACTTTATGAATCGAAACGACGTTTGAATAAGAAACAAACATGTAATTGTAATGTGTAACGCTCCATTTATATAAAAACTAAAAGATTGGATAAGTCTTTCCCCAGAATCCAGGCATATCTTAAAAATAAATTTTGTCCCCACGAAACGGTGTCGACCACAACTTTTGGTTTTTAATACGTAGTATGATCGAGTGATGTTGGCTACAAAAAAGTATAAAACCTAAAAGTGGGCCAAAAGTGTCTTTTAATTTATAAAATTTGGTTTTGTTGAAAAGTTAATTTGCTAAACTCTGCTAAAATGTAAGATGATAATTCATGAGTTTATGCTTTTAAGAAAATGTCACACTACTCACACTAGGCACTAGCACACACTCATTGCGCGACGATGTGGTGATTATTCATTACATATAGTAAAGTTTAATACTCTGTCTACGCGTTTTGTGTATGTTTGGTAATATAATGAGGTTGTAAAAACATAATTAAGCTTTAACCCCGTGAAAATATTTGGATGGTCCAAAACACGTACGTACGCATTAGTGTTCAAATTGGTATCTTGAGAAGGGTCAAGGGTGTGATTATTTCATAGTAATTATGAATTTATGATGCATGAGCTTTCTCGAGTACTGATGGCCATGGCATAACACGTGATTTGTTTGGTGCGTATGTGATAAGAAAAAGGCTTTTTATACGACTTTTTAGCAGAGTTTGAGTTCGTATGTGATGATTTGGTCCAAATATATTTTTGGTTGTTTTGGATCACTATTCACTAGTGACCTTGTTGTATACAAAAAAACTAAAAAAAAAAAAAAAAAAAAGAGAGAGGGTGGAGGGATAATTA